CTGCCTCTCTTTTTTTGAGTTTTTAATTAATTTTTAAAATATATTTTTATTTTGTCAAATGTTTCCCAATTTTTAAATTCATTTTTTATTTTTAAAAATTGAATTTCAAATTCTCTCCCTCCCTCCCATACCTCTTCCATCTCAGCCCTTGAGAAGGCAAGCAATATATTGATTTTATGTCATGCAAAAAATTTCCATAACAATCATGTTGCAAAAGAAAACACAAAAAAACACAAGAGGAATAAAGAAAGTAGAAAAAGTATACTTTAGTCTGCACTCACAGTTCATTAGTTCTCTCTCTGGAGATGGATAGAATTTGTCATGGTCTTTCGGAACTGTCTTGGATCATTGTCTCAATCAGAGTAGCAAAGTCTTTCACAGTTGATCATCGTTAGAATATTGCTATTACTTGTATAATGTTCTTCTGGTTCTGCTCATTTCACTTTGTATCAATTCACATAAGTCTTCCTAGGTTTTCTCAAACTATCTTGATTGTCATTTCTCAAAACACAACAGTAAAGAATTGCCTCTTTAGTGTACCCATGGAGTTCTGACTCAACAGACAAAAATGTTATCATGGTTCATTTGTTGTTCACTCATTTTTCAGTCAGGTCTGACTCTGTGAGCCCACTTGGGGTTTTCTTGGCAAAGATACTGGAGCGGTTTGCCATCTCCTTCTTCAGCTCATTTTACAGTTGAGGAAACTGAGGCAAACAGGGTTAAGTGACTTCCCCAGAGTCACACAGTTAGTAGGTATCTGAGGTTGGATTTGAACTCAGGAAGACTGCAGACCTGGCACTCTATCCACTGAGCCACCTAGCAGCTAGCAGGCTGATAGGAAACAGTTAAGGAGTAGCTAGGCCTGCTCTGAAATGGATATGGGGAAGGGTCATCCCCTTCATGCATCCCCAAGGGAGTGTTACAGATATACAGCTGTAATGAGGTGTACCAATCTTTTTCTCCCTCAGGATAGGTGCCCCTTTTGTGGCTCATTTGGGAAGCAGCCTCTTGGTAATTTGAATCACTCAGTCCAGCTGATCCAGAGAAAGGAAAATTGAAAGGCAATGGGGGAGAAAATGTAAACGGCCCCTCTGAATTCCAAGGCTCAATGTGAAGTTCTGACGAGAATAGGAGACGATCCAGTCATCTAAACAGTGCAAAAAGGTAACATTATCATGGATTTTCAAGAGACCTTTTGCAAGAGTGAGAATGAAAACTGTGGGACCCTCAGTGAACAAAAGAAGGTTTAAAAAGAATGGTGGTCCTTTGACCCAGATGTGGGTTTTTAAGTGTAAACACCGAGACTCCAAAATGACCTTTCCATAGACCCAACCACCAGAACGCTGTTCCTCTGGGAAAGTGGATGGCATCCATCTGCTGATGAGCGATAGAACTGAGCTGAGTTACACAGGAAGTGAAGAACAGCAGGGATGCATGAGACCTGAGCTTCAGTCATATGATTTGTGGTTGAAAAGTACATTCATAAATGTTTTGCATGATTTCGAATGTATAATTGATATCACATTGTTTGCTTTCTCAGTGGGTGGAGGAGGAGTTAGGAGGAGGGAGACAATTTGTAATTCAAAATTTAAAAAGAATACTGAAAATTATACATCTTTTTTTAAAAAGTATATTCATATACTTGCTTATTTGATCCTCATAATGACTCACAAATTATTATCCCTATTTCACAGGTAAAATATGTTAATTATGTCCATTTTTGACACATGGTAGGGTACATGTTTGCAGATGGCAAACCTCCCATTCTCATTCTAATTTGCAGAAGATGGCAAATGTTAGGCAGAATGTAAGGTACTGTGCTCTTTTGTTCTATAGACATTTTGGTTGCTGAAAATGACAGAAAAAGAACATTAGTTCAGCTTGAGAAGAAACATAGAACCTGACATAGAAAGGCTTGAGGAGATAGACAAGACTATTCTGAGGACCTAAGAGAAAAGTACCCCCAGATAAATGTGTTGAGACGTCCTATATCTTTAGGCAGAGTTGAAGACAGACAAAGGGTAATGTGGTTCATCTGCTCATTTACTTGGGTATTCTCAGCATTTTGAGGGCTATAGCTGAGAAATTATATAAATAACTGTTTGGGTATTATGGGTCTATTATATAAGGACTGTCTGGAATTGAATCAAACATAATGGAAAGGTGCACTTCTTAAGTTTTACATCACTAGTTAGAGACAGGTAACTAGTTATGAGGTACTGCTTTCAATACGGAAATATTGGGCTCCAGACAGACTCTGCTGGTTAGAAGGAGAGGCCTTGCTGTCCTGAGAGCTGATCAGCTGGAGAAAGGCTGACTGAAGGCACAGAGAAGATGCCACAGCTCGGAAACTCACTGGAGGTGACCAGAATCCTGCTTCTGTGTTAGCTGTCCAGGCCTGATGCCCTTTCAGCATCATTTATAGCCTGAAAGAAGGGAACCTTTAGGGGTGTCTGGGTTGCCTTTGCTGCCCTTTCTTGCTTAGGAGAGACAGAAAGAGAAAGGCAAAGACCTTATTTGCAGCTGTTTTGAGCTATGCTGATATATTTTGTGAAAACGAGTGTAATACATTAGAAGCACCTCGCTTAGGGGTAGCTGTATTCTTAAACAGGCTTAATGTTGCTTCAGTGGAATGGCAACTATCCCCCCACCCCTGCTTTCCATGTCTGTAACTCTAATTAACTATAATGTTGCAGGGCTGCCAGGTGGTTCAGTGGAGAGAGTGCCAGGCCTGCAATCAGGAAGACTCACCTTCCTGAGTTCAAATGTGGACTCAGACACTTACTAGCTGTGTGACCCTGGGCAAGTCACTTAACCCTATTTGCCTTAATTTCCTCATCTGTAAAATGAGCAGGAGGAAATGGAAACCACACCAGTATTTTTGCCAAGAAATCCCCAAATGGGGTCACAGAGAATCAGACAGGACTAAACAAATGTTTAACATTGGAAAGTGTGTTAATCTACTCCCCTGTGGCTCCTACACGCTTGACCTGTAACTTCCCAACCCAAAATACCCCTCTCTCATGTTAGAATGTAAGCTCTTTGAGGGCAGGGACTGTTCTCTCTTTTGTTTGTATCACCAGCACTTAGGAAAGTGGTTGACTTACAGTAAGCAAGCCCAAAGTAAATGCTTTTTTGTTCACCAAGTCCTTCTTTCACTTATTCATTCAAAAGATCCGGAGAACAATCAATCATTATACCATTCACATTTTCACTTTACTTTGACACTTTAGTATTTATTTATTGGCAAGACAATGGGGGCTAAGTGAAATATCCAGGGTCACAGAGCTAGTGTCAAGCGTCTGAGGTTGGATTTGAACTCAGGGCCTCCTGATTCCAGGGCCCATGCTCTATCCACTACTCCCACATCTAGCTACCCCTTTGACACTTGAAAAGATCATTGATTCCCATTTATTTTATCCCTATCAGCAAGGATAAATTATCTCTATGGGATGTTTTTCCTCCTATGTGACTCCAGTCCAGGCTTTTCCTTCTTTACTCTTACCAGTAAGTGCAGCAGTGCTATACAAATGTATTACTGCTGTGCACCTAATAACTCAGGTGCAAATTATATTTTTAATACAGTAAATCATTCCCAATGCACCAAGGGATATTTGGAGAGTCCAGCAGTTGTAAGCATTTTGTAATAATAGCTGACATTTGCATAGTGCTTTAAGATTTGCTGAGGGATACATATACCCACAGACATACAGAAAGGTCCAAGTTCTTTAGAAGTAGAAGAATTAGGGTGTGATTATTCCCCAAGAAGAGTCAGGGAGACCTGAGTTTGAGTTCTGCCTCAGACACTTTACCTGTTGTTTGGCCCTGGACAAGTCACTTAACTGCCCTCAGCCTCATTTTACTTAAATGGAAAATAGGGTGTTAGGGAAAACATGGCTCTCATGAGGATCGAATGAGATAATGCATATACATATATAAAAAGATTTTATATACATATTTTAGATATAAACAGTTTATATATAAAAATAGATCTATTATTACATGTGTATCACATATACGTAGACCATATACATTTTATGTGTGTATTGTTAACGACTGGTAAGGGGTCCCAGGAAATGTAATAATGGACAGATTACAGACGATCTAGTATTGCACATATCTTGCATATATGTATATTACACACACGGAACACATACACATTATGTTCATATGTATGTAACACATATTACGTAACAGATCCTCATAAGAGCCCTGGGAAGTAGGTGATAATAACCCCATTTCCCATGAGTTAAAACAACTGGGCATTAGGTGACCTACCCAGGAACACACAGCAGGGAACGTGTCTGAGGCAGAATTCAAACCCAGATCTCCCTGACTCTTCTTGGGGAATAATCACAGCCTAATTCTTCCACTTTTAAAAAACTTGAGGGCAGCTAGGTGGCGCAGTGGATAGAACACCGGCCCTGGTGTCAGGATCACTAGCTGTGTGACCCTGGGCAAGTCACTTAACCCCGCTTGCCTTGCAAAAAAAAACCAAAAACAAAACCTTGGACCTTCACACATTTAAGCTTCTTAAAGGGAGTTACTATAAGAGATCCCAAGAAACAAACCACACCCACAATTAAATTAATGACTCCCATCCTTCCACCACCCCAGCGGATTGGGAGACTTCATCTATATTTGGGCTCTTTCCGCAAATCTTCAGCTCCCCGCCGGGGAAACGGGGCTCTTCCTTCCCTGGGAAAAGTCTGGTCACCCCACGCAGCGCCACCTCCTCCGACCAATGGCGGCCCAGCGCTCTCCCTCAGCGCAACGCTCACCCGCGCTTCCTTCGCGTCACTAGAGGATCCTGTTCCGCCCTGTTGCGCAAGCGCAGCTCCAGATCCCAACAATCCTCCCCGTAGCTGCGCGTCGAGATAAAGTTGGAGAGGGGGAAGGGCGGCCTGTACGTTTGCGCGTGCGCGGGCATTTCATTCGTTGAACTTCCCGGTTGCTCCTGCTTCCGGCACTGGCGGCGAAGCAGTTCCAGGTCGAAGGATACGCTTCCGGAAGGCGGGAGGCTTGGAACGCGGCTAGCGGATGCAGAAATCTCCTACCTGAACTGTAGCGGTGCGGGATCTGCGGCAGCCATGGAAAATGCGTGAGTGCGAGGTTTTGGGGAGCGGGGCTGGGATCTTCCCCTCCCGGGTTAGTGACACCTTAGGGAGGGCTGGTGTAGAGTCTGAGCCAACGGCTCATAGATTTAGAGCTTCAGTCCTGCGCTCATTTTACAGAGAAGGAAACTGAGGCCCGGAGAGTTTCTGACCCATGGTCACCCAGGCTTGGAAACCTAATCCTTTGGCTTTGAGTCCAGCGTTCTCTCTCCCCTGCGCCACACTGCCCTTCATGCTGGCGTAAATTAAATTAGATAATTGACTAAATGAGTCAGACACTTATTAAGCACCTGCTACTTCACGAATAAAACCAATGTAGCCAAGATTAGAGGGAAGGCAGAAAATTGGGGGGAAATATCTTAATTTCTCAGATAAAGGTCTCATCTCGAATATATAGAGAACTTTGAGAAATTTATAAGAATATGAGTCATTCCCTAGTTGATAAATGGTCCAAGGATACGAACAGGCAGTTTTTGGATGAAGAAATCAAAGCTATACTATAGGCATAGGTGAAAACAATGCTCTAAATCATTATTGAATAGAGAAATATAAATTAAAACAACCTTGAGATATTTCCCACCGATCAGATTAGCTAAAATGATAGAAGGGGAAAATGACAAACGTTGGAGGGGTTGGTAAAAAATTGGGACCCTAATACATTGCTGGTGGAACTGTGAATTGTTGATCCAACCATTTGGAAGAGCTGTGTTTCAAGGTGATTAGGGGAAAAGGCAAAGAACCTGTATGTTCTAAAATATTTATAGCAGCTCTTTTTGTGGAAGCAAAGAACTGAAATTAAAGGGATGCCCATCAATTGGGGAATGGCTAAACCAGCTGTAGTATATGATTGTGATGGAATACTGCTGTGCTGTAAGAAATGATGAGCTGCTTGATTTTAGAAAAGAAAAAAAAATATGGAAAGACATGAAATCATCATTAGTGAAATGAGCAGAACCAAGAGAATGTTGCTTACAGTAACGGCAATATTATTTGAAAAATAACTGTGAACGACTAAGCTATTCCCAGTATTATAAATATTTAAATCAACTACAAAGGACCTGTGAAGGAAGCTGCTATCCACCTTCAGGGAAAGAACTGATAAATAGAAGTATACGGTATGCAGAATGTGGTTTTACGTGTATATCTACATATTTATTTATCTGTGTCAAAAGGTGGTCTTCTTTGGTCCCTCCCCGAGAGAATAAGCAGTTTGATATAGGTTATTTATGCCTGTGCAGTCATGCAAAACATATTTCCATATTAGTCATTTTGTGAAAGAAAACACAGATTCCCCCCCCCCAAAAAAAACCCCATGAATAAAATAATTGAAATAAAATAAGAAAATGAAAAATAATATATTTTGATTTTTATTCGGACTCCATCAGTTCTTTCCCTGGAGGTGGATAGCATTTTTCAGCATGAGTCCTTTGGAACTTTCTTGGATCATTGTATTGCTGAGAATACCTCATTCATTAATACTTGATCATACGATATTGCTGTTAATCTGTACAAGGTTTAGAGAAGGCCTCTTGATGGGAATTTTAGTAGAGATGGGTAAGATTTCAACAGTTCAAAAACTGGTATTCCCAAAGCACAGTTGTGATTGTCATCTTTTATTCAGTGAATAAATGAGTGAATGAATCGTTTAATAAGCACTTAGACAACACATATGGAAGGTTTCAGTTATAAATTGATTGGAAAAGTCCCATGTCATTTCTACTGCTAAAATCACCTGAGTTTCTGGTGTTGAACAGTTTGACAATGCCAAGGACTTTGGGGGCAAGAACTTTTCCTCCTGTGTTTTCAGTAGTTGTGGCTTGTAGTACCTGCAGAAGCAGTTGCCCAGCAAGACTTCTGATCAAGGAATAAAACAAATGAATGTTCTCTTTCAGTCTGTTTCTTTACTCTTCTATTCTTTTGGAGATCCTACTTACATCTCCCAGTTATTTCATCTGTCTTTACCTCCCACCTCCTATGTGCTGAGCTCCATGGGGTACAAAACGTGGTATGGTGATAACTAGGTGGTGTCCTGGAGGCATGCTTCCAAGCAAGATGAGGTGAAGAAAGATTTATTAGAGCCCAGGATCCTGGGAACAAAGTCCATGGTTCCTGTGGAAGTGAGATGGAGATAATAATGATTTTGGTGAGGGGAAGATCACTGGTGCTTTGTGGATAAATCAGGAAAGGCCTTTTCTAGATGGAACTTAGTGCTAGAGCTGGACATTGAAGGTGATTTGGGATTCCAAGACAGTATGAGAGTGCCAAACTGTGCCACAGACTATGAGGTACTAAGTGCTGAATTTCTTGACACTGTGTCTTTCATGCAGGCGGCACTCAACAAATGTTTGTTGAGTTCCTATTACTCGAGAGAGATATCAGTGAGTATTGAAGTTGTCAAAGAAGGTTCCACAGAGGGAGGAGTTTTGAGTTGGGCCTTAAAGACTAATTAGGCTCTGGAGAGAGGAAAGCATTCACAAGGGGCCCAAAATGAGTTCCTTTTGAATGTTATAGATTGGGAAATGAGTCCACATTCCTTGGACAGTGAAAAAGAAGATTACTTCGGTTTGAATGCTCCCCTGAAACAAAAGTTTGATGAGCACTTTATTGTCTTAATATTCACATTCTCTTAATTATGCTGTTTCAGGAATGGCTTTGGGGAGATGCCTTCTCCTGTTGTTCGAGATGTGGAGGTGACACGGACAGCTCGAAGACAAAGTGCAAACAAAAGAGTATCTAGTATCCTTTCAACTTTAAATGTTGGTACAAAAATAACAATTTGTACTCAGAGCTGTAATTAACCATTTTCTCAAAAGTCACCATTGATTTCCTAATCACCAATTCCCATGGCCTTATTTTCCCCCTCTCATTTCTCATCTTTGATTGCTCTGAAGGTCTTAGTACTGTTGACCATCCCCTTCTTCTTTATATTCTCTCTTTCCTTATCTTTAGAGACATCCTATTTGGCTGGTTTTCCTACTTCCTCTATCTCCTTTTGACTCTTCATCTTCTTCCTGTCCCCTTTATGTGAGTCTTCCCAAAGGTACTACTATTGGCTCCTTTGTCTTTATATCATCTTTTTTGACAATCTTCAGGCTTCAACTAAAATCTTCGTATAGAATGGTGTTCATCGATTTTTTTTAACATCTTGATAACTTTAATTAGTTTCCTTTGTAATCCGTTTATATTCATTATATAATGCATATAAAATATATATAATGAAAGGGTCCATAGGCTTCACTAGAGTATCAAAGAGGTCTATGACACACAAAAGTTTAAGAATCCCTGATATAGGGGATTCTCACATCTGTCTCTTCAATCTTAACTTTTCTCTTTTGCTCCAGACTCACATACCCAAGGGCCTTCAGGACAGCTCTGCCTGATGTCCCACCAAGACTTCAAACTCAACATGTCTAAATCAACTTATTACCTGACTTTGATCTAGATAGCTGTGGATTGGGGCTTTGACATTCCTGGGAATTTTCACTTTAGAGTTCAGGAGGGTACTGTTGGATTCTTTGTATTTTCACTTTGCTCTCTGGCTCTAAGACATCTGGACTGTTTTTATTTATGATTTCTTGAAATATGGAGTATCTAAGCTTTTTTTTTTTTTTTTTTTAAGGAAGGATGTAGATTATGATTTTCAAGTAGTCCAGTAATTCTTATATTATCTTTTTGCCTTATTTTCCAGTCAGTTGTTTCTGATATTTTAGTCCTTCTGTTTTTTCAATTGTTTGATTTTATTTTAATGTTTCTTGTCTCATTGAGCAATTCCTTTTTGTTTGGTCCATTCAGTTCTTGTGTAAGGTATTAACTTTCCTTGGCATTCTTTATTCTGTAGCGTTTCCATTTTATATCTCTTGTTTTATTTCTTTGAAGCACTCAGTCCTTCTGACCTGAATATTTTTTTCTCTAAGATTCTACTTGGACTTGTGAAGTTATTCTCTTCTGCTAGGTTAACCCCTTTGATTTCTCTTGGTCGAAAGTATTCATTGTATTTGGCATTTTCTTCTGTTCACTCCTATCTCCAGCCTCAGTTTCTCAGTTGAGGACTTGTGTTGGGTCAGACTCCACTTTTATTGATCTAGATGATGTGAGCAAGTCCACTTGGTCCTGAGTGTGGTGTCTGAGAAGAGGGTCTACCTTCTGTGGGAAATATCTGACCTTGACTCCCTCTCGGGTTCAGGCCCAGGCTTCCTCAAGTGTTGGTTTGGAGCTGCCTAGATGCTGGGCAGGCCTGTGCTGCTTGAATGTTGCTCCAGACCTGTCTTCTCTGGGGCTAACCTATGTTGGACATTGCTCAGGATTTTTTTGTGCCCCATGTTCTAGGACCACCCCAGTGTCTGGTGTCTTATTATCTTGGCCAATATACATTTTCAAATCTGTTCCTCCTTCTGACTTTTAGTACCCCTATTCATTCAGTTTTCCATGTTTGAAACCTTGAAGTCCTCCTTGACTCTTCCTTCTTCCTTACCTCTCACATCTAAATCCTCCCAGTTCTGCATCTACAGCATCTCCTCCCAATTGCTCCTACTGCTGCCATCTTAGTATAGGCCCTGATTTTCTCCTGTCCAATACAGTAGCGCCCTTACATGTCTTTCTGCTGCCACTCTTTCCCTCTTCCAATGCTTCCTTTGTACCACTGCCAGGATCATCTTCATATCTAGAGCCAGTTATGTTGCGTGACTACTCAAAACATTTCAGTGGGTATCTGTTGCCTATTGAATAAAATTTACATTTCTTTGCTTGACTTTCTAAATTCCTTACAATGCTGAACCACTTTATTTTCCACTCTTACCCATTAGTACTCTCTAATCACTTAACCATCTTGGGCCTCAATTTCTGTATTTGTCAAAAATGTGGGAGTTGAACTAAATGACCTGTGAGGTCCCTTGCATCTCTAAATCTAGGATCTGTGCTTCACCTAAACTGAATTGCTTCCTGCCTCCTGAACTCAAATTATACTTTTAAGTCTTCCTACCTGTGCCCATGCCTAAAATGTCCTTTCTTTCCCACCACATCTGTTGAATTGCCCATCTTTCCAAATGCCAGGTAAAAGTCGTCTTCTTCATGAAGCCTTTCCTGATCATCTTACTGTCAGTAATGGCCTTCCTTCTGAGACATTCAGTTGTAGGATGCCATTTTTACATTCTGTTTACATTACGGTTATCTGCATTTGTGTCTTTTACCTCTGTTGGATTGTAAACTCAGTAAATACGCAGACTAGCTCTTATGTTATTTTGGCTCACTCAGGGTCTAGGACAGTACTCTGTACACAGTAGGCACTTTAAATTGTTCTTGTTTATTTACTTGTTTGTTTGGGTTTTTTTAGGCAATTGGAGTTAAGTGACTTGCCCGGGGTCACACAGCTGTTAAGTGTCGAATGTGTGGTCTGAGACTGGATTTGAACTCAGATCCTCCTGACTGCAGGGCCGGTTTTCTATCCACTGTGCCACCTAGCTGTCCCCTGTTTATTTTCTTAACATAGAAAAATCACTCATCCTTTTTTAAAAAATATATTTTTATATAGTATAAACATACTTAACTGTAACTTGAATGTAACTTATTCCATCCAAATGAATGGCTTTTCTTGACTAACTTTCTTATCAGTCTTGACTCCCCATGAAGATACTTTGGCTAATATTACACCAAGAAGCCAAATAATTCCTCGAACTCCAAGCTCATTTCGCCAAACCTGTAAGATTTTTGCTTTTAAAAACAATTTTCTAATTATGTAGGTACTAAGTAAAAACACATTAGCTCTTGCATTGTTTTTACTTTTTTTATTCTATAAGCAAGCTTCTTTATTTAATAAGCCTCTTCCTGGTGGATTAATGAATGTAAGCAACCTTTTAGCCCTTAGGCAAATAAATCTGCTTGGTTCTGTCATAATTGAGATTTAACAAAATGGTAAACTGAGGCAGATCTCTGTGCAAGATAACAGAGGGCATACTACCTGTCAGTAGTTAGGTCAGGGGCTTTCTTGTCTTTATGTCAAATACTCTGAGCAAAAGGACAGTTCCCCTTTTATGGGTTTTGGGGAGTGCAGAACAGAGTAGATGACATTATGGGATTGAGGGCAACATGATTGTTTATAAAGCTGGGGCTCAGGGAATAACATGATTGATTGGAAGTTTGATAATGAGGGCTATCAACTACTCTCTACTTCTTCTCTCATGAGACTTAGGAAGTGCTTATCTGAGTGCAGGTGTGAGATAGTGGCCCAGACTTCTGGACAGCAAACCAGACATCCTTGAAGGATAGCTTGGTGGAGTAAAGATATCAGACCCAACTCCTTTTCCGTTCACACACATTTCCTAAAGTTAGCAAAATTCCTTGAGGCAAGGATAGATCAGTGATTAGCAGGAGAGCTGGATTTCTAAAATAACCCATTACAGGCCACCTGAGTTCTGAACTAAGTTCATGGACGAAGAACCATGACCTAAGCAGTTACAGGAAAAAATCAATTAATTGTAAGTAGGATCAATGAGAAAATGTTACAGGAACAATCTTAATTTGCTCAGTTCTCGAATAGGTGGGGGAAAAAATCATACTTTATATACTAACCACAAAAAAACTTAAATGAACAGCAACCTTAAATTTTCTTCTACGTTCCTTTTCTCTTCAGTTACTTCACTGAATCGAAGTTTATTAAGGCAGCCAGATGTTTCTACCATTCTTGCAACAAGAGTAAAGTCTCCTCGAATTGCTCATTCATCAGCCTTCTTGGGAAATCTATCCATGGTATGTAAAAGGCCAGGGTTGGTTAATATTGACATCTTCACCTATGAAAGTAATGTCATTTCTAAGTAACAATATGATGTGTATATTAGAACACCTCATTTGTCCAGAATCAGGCATCAAATATTTTGGAAAACTCAGAAATCACAGGTGGAAAGTTGGGGAGAGCCATTAATAGCCAGACCCCAAGTCAAAGAATCACTATAACCCATTATTTTGTTGACCAGAAGAAAATAAATTGATAGGCATTAGAATCTGACCTCTCCTGTAGCGTATGGAAGCCAAGAGTAGAACTAGAGTATCATTGAAAAGGAATGAGAAAAGGAAATGGGGTACACCAGAGAGAGAACCTCAGTTGGGAAGGAGGTAGATTTAAGAAACCTGTGTACTGCTGTACATACAGACAGAAGAGCTGCTTTGTCCACTTACCTTGGTACAAAATAGAATAGGCACATTCTGTATTTCTTAAGTTTCTAAATTTCACATAATTAAAGAAAAAAGAAAAAGCTTTTGAGGCTTTACCAAAAAATTATTTATTTTTAGTCTTCAGCATTCACTTTTATAAGATTTTGAGTTCTGAATTTTCCCCCGCCTCTCCACTTCCCCCTCCCCAAGATGGCATGCAATCTGATATAGGCTATACATGTATGATCATATTAAACATATTTCCACATTAGTTATGTTGTAAAGAAGAATCAGAACCAAAGGGGAAAACCATGAGAAAGAAAACAAAAAAACAACAAAAAAAGAGAAAATAGTATGCTTCGATCTGCATTCAGACTCTATAATTCTTTCTCTGAATGTGAATAGTATTTTCCATCGTGAGTCTTTTGGAAGTCTTGGATCATTGTATTACTGAGAAGAGCTAAGTCTGTCATAGTTGATCATCACACAATGTTGCTGTTGCTGTGTACAGTGTTCTCCTGGTTCTGCAGCATCAGTTCATGCAAGGCCTTCCAAGTGTTTCTAAAGTCTGACTGCTCTCTACTTCTGATGGAACAATAGTATTCCATTGCATTCATATACCACAACTTGTTCAGCCATTCCCTAATTGATGGGCATCCCCTCAGTTTCCAATTCTTTGCCACCACAAAAAGAGTTGCTATAAATATTTTTGTACGTTTGGGTCCTTTTCCCTTTTTTATGATCTCTTTGGGATACAGACCTAGGAGTGCAATTGCTGGATCAAAGAGTATGTACGTTTTATAGCCCTTTCGGCGTAGTTCCAAATTGTTCTCCAGAACAATTGGATCAATTCACAACTCCACCAACAATGAATTAGTGTTCTAATTTTCCCACATCTTCTCCAACATTTATCATTTTCCTGTTTTGTCGTGTTGGCCAGTGTGATAGGTGTGATGTGGTGACTTGAGGCGTTTTTGTTAGACACCAAAATTTTTAGAGGAGCATTTTTTTATGGTAGCAAAGAACTGGAAACAAATTAGATACCCATAGATTGGATAACAACTAAACAAGTAATGGCATGTTAACATAATGTACCATTACTGTGTTGTAAGAAATGACAGATATAATGAATACAGAGAAGGATGGAAGGACTTACATGAACTGATGCAAAGTGAAGTAAGCAGAGCCAGAATAACGTTTTTTGTTTTTTTTTTAAATCATGCACAGTGACTACAGCAATGTAAATGGAAACATCAACCACAAAACAATTGGAAATGGGTATTGCAGAATTACAAAGAACAAGTTCAGTCCCAATTAAGAGGGAAGATATCTGCCCTTACTCTAAAGGGAGGGGGCATGGTCCATTGGTGTGAAACATTGCATATGTTGTCAGATTTTTTGGGCATATTAATTGGTTTTGCTGTGTTTTTTTTCCTCTTTTACCTCTTTTTTCTTAATTATTTGGGATTGATTTTGGTCGGGGAGAGAAAGGAATACTGAGAGAAATCTAGGCATTGAAAAAGAACAGATAAAAAATTTTATTTTAAAGAAAAGAAAAAGACAAAACAAGAAAGTTTTGACATATAGTTCAATATCATGTCACATCCCAACCGGTAAAGGATAGTTGCTAAGATTTTTTAATAGTTCTAAATCCAATACAGTTATTGAAAATCTTTATCCTCTGTCCATAGATAAATGAGAAAACCTAGACTGTGTTGTATACAAATGGTTTTCGAAGAAAAGATCAGAAGATGCCTCTATTTCTGGCCCTTTATTTGTGGAAAAGACAAAGGCTTTTTTTTTTTTTTAACAAATTCAACTGGCAGAGGCTTTTGCATTTCCTAAAGGATGGTTTTGATGTTTTTTAATCTCATGAAAAATAATGTTGAGTGTAAAACTGCCAAACAAATTTGTGGGTTTTTTTTTTTTTTAATTTAATATGTCAGTATGTTCTAGAAGCAACCTAGTGGCAAGAGGCCTTGACTTAGAGTCAGGAAAGACCTGGGTGCAAATTCTCCTTCTGGTAGTGACTAGTCGTGTGGCCTTGGGAAGTCACTTGCCCCCTCTGAGCCCCAATTTCCTAGTCAGTAAAATGGAGATAATACTTAGAATAACTCGCTTGCAGGGCTCAGAGGAAATAATGTATATGAAATGATTTGCAAACCTTAAATACTATATTAATGTCAGCCATTCTTGTCATTTTCTGTCTTCTGAATAATCTTATAGCATTTGTGAAATTGTTCTATTTTGGCAAGACCTGTCAAATTCTACTCTAAAAAGTGTAAGTGAGACAACTGCTCTTCTGTTTTGCTCTTTTGATTGAGTGTGTGAAAAATTCATTCATGACATGTACCTGTTACTTATTCTTATGATCATTAATAAATGGACAAAAACATTTTTCTTATTGGTTCCATTATCCTTTTGTATTTCCATCAAAAGATCATTTTAGAAGTATATTCTTTTTTTTTTCTTTTTTTTTGGCTAGGCAATGGAGTTAAGTGACTTGCCCAGGGTCACACAGCTAGTATCAAATGTCTGAGGTTGGATTTGAACTCAGGTCCTCCTGACTACAGGGCCAGTGCTGTATCCACTACGCCACCTAGCTGCCCCCTAGAAGTATATTCTTAAAATAGAAAAGTGGTTGTTAGTAGACCCTGACCTTCATAAATAGACCAGTAGTTGTCCAGTTAGATTTTCATAGCTTGCCATAAAGACTCAACTCTTCATAGCCAAATGTTGAAGAGCCTCTCCAGACATAGCTAAGCTGGTCCTCAGCTGACTGGAGTATGTGGGAATATCTTTCTCATTTTCATGCCTCATATAACTTGAAATGCCAGTATTATTTCACTGATTTAAAATAGATTTATGGCATTGTTCAGATGATAAAATGTTATTCTAAAAATTTCGGAAATTCTGATGGGGCTAGTCATGTTTACTATTTTGAATCTTATTGTAATGTTGAACATAGAATTTTTAATATTGCTTGTGCCTGTTATTCTATTAAAACTAAAGCATTAGGGACAATTTAGAAGAACAGTACTCCTTGACTGAATAGCAAATAGTGATTAAAAAAAATTTATTTTCAGTTCACAGAACAAAACAAGCATTTCCATAACACAATACAATAAAAAAGATGATTGCACATGAAACTGCAAATCTACCACGAACAACTTCCTATTCTCTCCAAATATACAACAAAGTTATCATGTAATTTTTTTTCCTTTTTTTTCTTCCCTCCCCTCCTCCTTTCCCTAGAGGTGGTTACCATTAGATACAAATAGGTATATGTATGTAAAATTATCCTTTTCCATTTATCAATTCTTTCTCTGGATGCAAATAGCCTCATTTTTTTTATACGTCCTTTATTTTTAATTTATATACTTGTAATAGTCAAAATGACTTAGTCACTCAAAGTAGTTCATAAAACCGTATTATTATTATTATATACAATGTTCTCTTGTTTCTGCTCACTTCACTCTTTACCATTTTGTGCATGCCTTTCTAAGATCATTGAGCTCATTTCTTATAGCACAGTAGTATTCCATCACAACCATATACCACAACTTGTTCAGCCATTCCCCAATTGATGGGAATCCCTGCAATTTCTAGTTCTTTGCCACCACAAAGACATCTACTATAAACATTCCATTCACATTCAGAGATATAATTACTATTTGTGAATTTCCCTCCATGTTATTTTTATTCACTATTTTCTTTCTCAGCCTCTCTTTTCACACTGTCCCTATTACCTTATCTTCTACCCTTACCCTCCCACCTCCCACTTCACCTACCCCTCCAGGAGTCCCCCCCATCCTCTTCACTTACTCCCCCCAATCTCAATCCGCACACTTCTCTAAAAGTCTCCCCCATTTTCTCCCCCCAGCCTCCCAAATTCCAATCTGTACACCCCTCTAAACCCTTTCCCCGAGTTTTCTCACCTCTCTACATGTTCAGAAGACTTCTCTACCCTTCCAGATGCACATGTTGTTTCCTCTTCAACCCAGATGAGAATAAGGTTCCAACGTTACCAGACTTCCACCTCCACCTGCTTCCTCTGTTTTAGTTCTTCCTTTCACGCCCCATTTTTATAATACAATTGCTCCCTTGTACCTTTTCCTACCCAATTTTGTTTTTTACAATCACCTCATCACGCATAATTCAGCCCCGACCTTTCTTTCAAACTACCTTAGTAGTGAAGACAGTTTTGAGAATACTGATAACATTTTCACAAAAATAAGTAAACAGTTTGACTTTAATGAGTACCTTTTAATTAGTCTTTAATGTCTTCTTTATATTTCTTCTGGATCTTTTATGTGGAATTTTCCATCAAATTCGGGTCTTTTTGTTACAAATACCTAAAAGTCTTTCAGATTGTCAAATGTTCTTTTTTTTTTTATTCCGGATTATACTCAACTTTGCTGGGTAAGCTATTCTTGGGACATAACCCCAGCTTTTTTGCTCTTTGAAATATAAGACCTATAGTCTTTTTTAGAGTAGAAGCTGCTAGATCTTGTGAAATCCTGAATGTATTTCTGTAATATTTAAATTTGTTTTTTTCTTGTTGCTTGCAATATTTTCTCCTTAACATGGAAGTTTTGAAACTTGGCTATGACATTCCTGTGTCTCCAGGGATCTCTGTCAGGTGGTGAATTGTAGATATTTTTCTATTTCAACCTTCCCTTCTTGTTCTAGAACTTCAGGGCAATTTTCCTTAATAATTTCTTGTAATAATATATCCAGATTCTTTTTTTGATCATAACTTTCAGGTAGTCTGAGAATTCTTATATTGTCTCCTTGATCTGTTCTCCAGATCAGTTGTTTTTCTAATGGGATGTATCAGATGCTCTTCTATTTTTTTTCTAGTTTTATTTCTTGTTTGTTTTTTTGGTTTTTTGGTTTTTTTGCTTTTTTTGGCGGGGGGTGAGGCAATCTGGTTTAAGTGATTGCCCAGGGTCACACAGCTAGTTAAGTGTCAAGTGTCTGAGGTCGGTTTTGGACTCAGGTCCTCCTGACTCCAAGGCTGGAGCTCTATCCACAGCGCCACCTAGCTGCCCTTCTTGTTGTCTTTGGACCAAAAAAAAAAAATTCATTTCACATCGAATGTCTTTCCATTTTTTGGAGTCTTCCTTTATTTCAGTCAGCATAATATTATAGCTGCACATGCACAGGTCGTGTGAATTTTTAATTAGATTCATTATCATATATTTGATAGTTTTTAAAATAAATTTTTATTAAATTATTTTTATCTCTCAGAAAATAAGAATACAAATGATTTTTGTGAATTGATCTCCAATCATACTTTTTTTGGTTGACAAAGATACACTGTCATGTCATCAGCAAATATTTTGGACCCTTCATTTCCAATATTAATCCCTCTAATACCTTTTTCCTGTCTTATCATTTCTAATTTGTGTTTGTAATACTGTGTCAAATAAAAGTTTTGGAAGTGGGAAATAAAATCGCAAAGTTCATTATAAGTAATTTGTAAATCTTCGTTTGTAATTCTCTTGTCACTCAACTATGTTATCTTAAATTATTTTCTCGTTTTTTTAAAAGGCATCTAATCTTGATGAGAGTAACTGGACAGCAGCATTCTCCCCACAGCGGTCGGCACTCTTCACAAACGCAGATCCCTCTAATGTGACTGAAGATGTCACTTTTAGTGCTGTTATGCTACGTGAGGATGATCCTGGAGAAGCTGGTAAAATGACTTTGACTTTCATTTGTGATGATGTTGATTTGGTTTTCTTACAAGTAATTAACGAAGCACTCATTTCATAGTCTCCAAATTTTAGTTCTTCAACAAACATCTTTTAAGCACCTACTTTGTGCAGAGCAGTATGCTAAGTATTGAGGAAGATGCTGAATTTAGGTAAAGCAGGGTCCCTGTGCTGTCACGGAGCTTGAGGCAGGAGTGGGTGTGATCAACAAAACTTCATGGAAATGTTTCATTGATTAAGCGAATGAGGGTTTTGGTCCTGGACCTTATTCCTATTTTTTGTCTTGATGGAAGATGGTCATACAAGCTTCATACTGTGATAGATCTGTGATTCCATTCGTATGGCTATTGCTTCCAAAAATGCAGATTGTAAACCATCCACACCTGCCTATTGTGCAAAACTATTGCCCTGTATTCCCTTAAATTCTCCACAGAGAGTTCATTCAACATGCTGGAAGTTTGCTGCAGCTCTTCTGACGTTATATGGATGCCCATGGAGCACAAAGTCTGCCTTGTCAGTTCTCTCTCCTTCTTGCTGCATGTCTAGCACATCCTGAGCAGTTACTTGTAATATTTTCTACCTGCTCATCAGCGGCATGTTCCTCTTGATTGCCTTTTGGGTATCCATGTAGTTTATGTGTAAGATGTATATCCACATGGACTGGCTCCATGTCACTATGTATCCAGGTCTGGCCAATAGGTCTTGTGTATCCATTTTGTTTACCTTCTGTGACTACTTAGGCCATATAACCTTTGAGTGGTACAATTCTTATTTAGGAGACTGCAATGTCTTAAGAGCTTGAGGCCGTTAGCACAATGTTATCCGTAGACCGGACCACCTAGAAGGCCACAGCACTTAGAACAAATCTGTCTTCTGTTGGAGCTCTGCCCTGGGTTTTTTCTTCTTGTAGAGGAAGAGGATGAAAACACTCTGAACGCCATATCCTTATAAAACAGCAAGCAGCAGTAGAGGAAAAAATAAGGTAACAGAAAGTGAGAGACATACTGAATTAAAGTCAGCCTAGGCGCATTAAATGAAGGGGCAAGGAGGACAGGAAGCAAGGAACATGGAGATGGGTCTGCAAAGATTTTTATAACAACCTCTTTTTACTGTCGATGTCATTGGAGTCACCATTTTTGGACTCCTGCTAGTCTACTATTGCAGTCCCAAACATGCTGTATGAGGAAGTAGAAAACTACCAAAGAAAGCTAAAATGAGAAAGGTCGAGAATTTTGCTTTGTATGATCTTAATTCAGACAGCATCTTTCTGCTTCTTCTGGAATATCTATTCCTTCATATGTTCCTTAGTAGATTTGTCTTTTGATGTAAATAGAAGAAATCATTTGTGTTCATTTTTTAGAAAATTGATGTCCCTGGTAGAATAATAGAAGATGTGAGCAAACAGTTTTCAAAAGAATTGCAAATTACTAACAACCATATGAAATCATTATTCCAATCATAACCCACTTAATAATGAAGAAAAATGCAAATTGAAACAACTCTGAGGTTTGCTCATAGCTAGCAAATTTCAAAGACAGTAATGCAGGAGGTGTTGTAGAAAGACAGACACATCACTGCGTTGTTGATAGAGCCATGAAATGCTCCAACCAATCTAGAAAGCAATTTGGAATTATGTGAAGAGGGATTTAGACGTCCGTACCCTCTGACTTTGAGGTTTCATTGCTAAGTATATACCCCAAGAGTTAGTTGACAAAAGGCCTCATATACACTAAGGTATTTGTAACATTATTTTGTGTTAGCAAAGAAGTGGAAAAAAGTACATGCCCATTAGTTAGTTAAACAGATTGTGGTACATGAATGTAATATTATTGAGTTGTAAGAAATTAACATAATGAATGTAGAGAAACATGGAAATGCTTCTATATGACCTGACACAAAGTGAAGTAAGCAGAACCAGGAAAACAGTATTCATAATGATTCCAGCAAGAATGTAAATGAAAAGAACAACAGCAAGACAACAATAAAAAATGAGTACTTCAAAATTATAATGAGCCTGCTTGACCCCCAAAAAGACATGAAAAACACCTTCCCCCATTTCTTTTTAGAGGTGGGAGATGGTAGGTGTGGGACATTACATATAGTGTCATATTTTTTCTATACTTTGACTAGTTTTGCTGAACTTTTTTTTAATGTTTCCCTTTCATTTTTTATTATAAAAGATGGCTCTCTGGGAGAGGAGTAGAGAAGGAATACAGTGGAAAATATAGGTGATGTAAAAGCAAAAAAAAAATCAATAAAAATTTATTTTAAAATAATGATACTTCTTAGAAACTTTTGTTCAGTCATACAGTGATGCCGAACTCTTTGTTAACCCCATTTGGGGTTTTCTTAGCAGAGATACTGGAGTGGTTTGCCATTTCCTTCTCCAGTTCGTTTTACAGAAGAGGAAATTGAGGCAGAGTGAAGTGATCTACCCAAGGTACACTGCTAGTAAATATCTGAGGCCACATTTGAACTGAGGAAGATGAGTATTCCTGACTCCAGCCCGGCACTCTATCCACTGTGCCACCTAGCTGCCCTTTCTTAGAAACCAATTTCTATTAATTTTGAAAGTTACTCAATTTCTCAGTTTTTGTTCTATAGTATATTGTTATAAATATCTTCTGAAATATCTATTCCTTCATATGTTCCTTAGTAGATTTGTCTTTTGATGTAAATAGAAGAAATCATTTGTATTCATTTTTCAGAAAATTGATGTCCCTGGTAGAATAATAGAAGATGTGAACAGTTTTCAAAAGAATTGCAAATTACTAACAACCATATGAAATCATTATTCCAATCATAACCCACTTAATAATGAAGAAAAATGCAAATTGAAACAACTCTGAGGTTGTCCTAGTAGTTTATATTCTATGTTATGAATTAATTTAGAATCCTAGACCTTAGAGCAGGAAAAGATTTTGGACATCATTTAGGCCTCATTTTATGGCTAAAGAAGCTGAAATCACACAGCAGAGCCAGGGCTAGAATCTGTCTTCTGACTCCACACTAGTCATTTGTGGTCTGTATCATGCTGCCTCTTAACCAACCTGTTGGTCTAAATTAACTCATTTTCCTTGGGAGGAAGTAACTTTACCTTTGCTGTTTATGTTTTGACAAACTATTGGTTTCTCCTCTTCACATACTAATTACCAAAAATCTTAATGCAAAAGTCTCATTTTATCATGAACTGGTGACAGGTGTATGTAAATAAATACTCTCTGGGTTTTCGTATTGTTCATTTTCCCTGAGAACAGCTAAATTTAGCCATCTTGTCTCTATTCTTGTGATATTTCACTGTGCCTTTGTATTCTAAAAGGGCATATAGTTTTCTCAAATATTTTTAAGTATTTCTGATTTGGAAAGACTGAAATAGAGCATAATTCAGATTTTTGAAATTTAGCCCCAGGTTTTCTTGACGTCAGTGTCAGGAAGAGAAGAAAAATATCAGGTTAATTAATGTTATGCCAGGATGTTAATTGTTACAATAAAGCTTTCTTATTATTAAATCAAATTACCTGAATACATGACACTCAGCGCTATTTTCTTCCTTTTCTTTTTGATATACTTTAGCAACAATGAGTATGTTTTCTGACTTCCTGCACTCATTTCTGAAGCACGCTTCAACTACAGTTTTTGAACTTGTAGAAGAGTATGAGCATATTTGTGACAGCCAGGTAAGCTGTTTTACTCTTATGTTGCCTGATCCCGGTACTTTTGTTATTAAAACATTGAGTAATATTTCAGTTAATCCTGGAATCACCTTATGAAGAAAATAATCATGCAATCACCTTTTCATTAGATAAGGAAGGGAATTACCCCCCTTTCTTCCCAATCATCTGGATAAGTCATTGAAGGAGTTAGACATGAAACTTAGGAAAGCCTTAAAAATTGAGGTAAGGTTACTACTTGGATGTTGACTTCTAAATAGGAACTAATTTATGACTTATAAGAACTAAGTTAATTACCTATTAGCTTTTTTTTTTTAAAGCAAATTTATAAAGTGGTTACTTTGAGGATTCACTTAGATTCGTATCTGAAATAGCTAACACTTTGCCCTCACAGTCTTTTTTGTGGCTAAGTATGAATGGAACAGGTAAAATTTTTATCAATGAATTTGCAATATTAAGAATGTTATGAAAGGAAGACTTGCAGAAGGAAAATTTACTTTCACCAATTCAGTTGAACACATTCATTAAGCTCCTCTGTGTGAGAGGCATTGTTTCCCCTGTAGGAGTTACAGAAATCAATCAAACAGTTTTTGTCCTTAAGGGCTTTGCACTTTATACGCTATGATGATGTGAATATTTCTGAGTTAGAAAAAAAACACTGATTAGGTAGGATGACACTATTCTTCATCCTGTATGAAAAGGAGGAGTTGTGGCTGATGAAGTTGGTCATTTTGGATAAGAGGATTTTTCAGAGCCAGCTTTTGAGGATGTACAGAGAGAGGCAGCGTGGTGGGGTGAGAAGAGAGGCAGCCGCAGAGTCAAGAAGACCTGGGTGTAAGGCCCGCTGCCAGCACACGCCAGCTGGGTGGCCATCAGCGAGCCCTTCAGCCCAAATCCCACTTGTCATGCATCCCACCTGCGCAGTGTTAGGCCGACCCCTGAATCTCCTTGGGCCTTTTGGTTTCCTGATCTTGTACATTAAGAGATTAAGCTGTGTGGCTTCCGAGTTCCCTTCTAGTTCCAGGTTTTTGATCATCTGACCTCCTGTACCTGAGGGATCTCTGTCATTTGTAAGACTAAGTTGCAGAACAATTTCTGTCTGCAGTTGGTTGAAGGGACTTTCTATACCGATGAGGTCGCAAGTCTTGAAACTCTTCTCTCCTTTCTCTCCCCCCTGCACCAAGGGGGGATGGGAAGGGGAAACATTCAGACTTTCTTATTTTAAATGAATCATAAAACCTCCTTTTATTGAACTTGATTTGTGTTCTTAAATATGCTTTACAAGTCCAGTCTATACTCTTTCCAGAAAAGGCCACTATTGCCACATCTCCCCCCACCCCCAAATCTTTTGAAATGTATCAATTCTATCCCACTTCTTTTTATTGTTTAAGTAACTAGAGTAATGTTTTCTTTTAAAAACATTTTTTTAAAAAATGTAAATTTTCCATTTCTCTCAGTTCAGTATTTTATGTTCTTATGGTGATAGTTGCCTATCCTGAGAGAACCTTAAAAAGACCTTATGGGTATCTATTGATATTAGATAAAATGTAGCATTTATTAAGCATTTACTGTGTGCCAGGTACTATGCTAAGATATTAGATTTCTCAGATCTTGTTTAGGTAGAATCTTTATGGAGGTGGAGCCAAGATATCAGAGAAGCAAGAAAAACCCAGTACCTTCCCCTTCCCCCCCCCCCAACAAAAAAAGAAAAACCCAGCCCTCCTCCAAACAGATTTAGAAAACACACTGTGCCAAATCCTGATGGAGAAATGCAAGACAAAGTCTAAGGGGGTTATTTGTCTAACTCAGGTAGACACAGGAAGACAGACATCTCTACAGAAATACGACGGGGTCTGGCTAGGAGTACACCATGTGTAGCATCCCAGTGCTCAGGGAGAGGCTGTGCATCTGTGCAAGAGGAGGTCCCAGATCCATATCGAGACATTGAAGGCTCAAGGCTGCAATGAAAGGATGCCAGACGGCAGTTTCTTTATTATTACCAAGTTGCAGGTCAGAGATCCATGGCAAACTGAAGAAGGGGACCTGTATTCAGTAATAAGGAGTGGTTGCAGGCCCTGGACTGTACACTAAGAGAAGCAAGTTTAGAAGTAAGCAGCAGCAGTGTAACTTAGACCCCAGGAACAAAGAAGGATCTCAGTTCCAATTTCTAGCCCAGCCCAGAACCCTCAGGGGGATATCCATGGTAGGAATCCGAGACCGAAGGGGAGCCCACGGTTCTTTCACTCTGAACCAGCAGAGCTTGCTGGATAGCTGATAGTAGATGAGTCTGGCAGCTGTCGCTAGCATCCAAATCCAGGTCAAACTAAAACTGAGGAGGTCCATCAATCAGAAGTTGCCCTGGATCAGACCACTTTGGGAGTATTGAAAGCTTGCAGATCCCCAGTCTAAGCCATCCCTGAGATGCTGGAATAGCACAACACTCAGTACCCCTAAAAAACAATAGCAGAACCATCTCAGACCTTCCCTTCAGACATATACAGAGCCTGACCCTGACATCAAGTTTGAAGTCAGGAAGTTGGTTGGAAGAATGAATAAACAAAAAAAGAATCCCACTGTTATGATGACGGGGGCACTCAACTCAAGTACAGAAGAGTGACTCCAAAATATCTATAAGCAGAACCTCAAAGAAAAACAGAACGAGCACAAATTCAACTAGACTTCTTGGCTGCAGATGAAGCAGGAGTTTTATTGTTGTTTTAATAAGGGTTTTTTTTTTTAAATTTAATCAATGAAATGAGGGCGCTTGAGGAAAAAGGAAAGAAAAGAAATGAGAACTATAGAAGAAAGAATTGGAAATGTAATTAATAGCTTGGCCCAAGAGGTACAAAACCTGGCCTAAGCAATAAACTCCCAGCCATTATAATGGACCAAAATGATGACTTCATACAACAAAAAGAAATATTAAAACAAAGTTAAAAGACTAAATAAAATCAAAGCAAATGTAAGGTATCTCAAAGCAAAAACAACTTATTTGGAAAACTTAGCAAGGAGAAAAATTTAAGAATCAAGGATTACCTGAATACCATGATCAAAAAATTCTCCATATCATATTTCAAAAAAAATCTTAAAACTGTCCAGATCTCTTAGCACCAGAGGGCAAAGTGGAAATAGAAAGAATACACTGTTAACTCCTGAAAGAAACACCAAAATGAAAACTTCCAGGAATATTAGAGCCAAAGGCTAGAAAGAAAAAATACTGTAAGCATCCAGAAAGAAAGAATTCAGATATTGAGGAGCCACAGTCAGAATCACACATGTTTTAGAAGCCAGCACTTTAGAGGAGTGAAGAGCTTGGAATATGATATTTTAGAAGGCAAGGACATGGACTTATAGCCAAGAATAACTTAATCAGAGGGGAAAAAAATAGACCATTAATGAAATAGAGGACTTGAAAAGTTTGGAGCTATGTAGAAACTAAATAGTTCAAAGAGAAGCTTACATTAAAAGGTAAGCATAAAGGGACGAGAAAAAATGCTTGCGTTCAGATATGGGGAGGTGATACATGTCCTCTCTGACATCATCAGGAGTTATAGGGAATCTGATTTAGACAGAAGGCCTGGAAATGGCTTTGTTAGGTATTGATCCTCTTTTAACAAAAGTATAGAAAGAAAGGGAAAGAAGAGTGTACTGATGGAAGGGAAAAGAAAGGTTAGGAAGAAGTATCTCATATAATCAAGATTTGAAAGTTGACCTCTCTACAAAGAGAGGGTAGGGGGGAGCAACTGATACTTCAACTTCAATCTCATCTGAACTGGTTAAAGGAGGGAAGAGTACACATACACAGTAATTGGAATCTGAGGAGGTGCTCATCAGCTGAGGAGTGGCTGAACAGGTTGTAGTGTATAGATGTAGAATGCTGGTGTGCTACGAGAAATGAGGGAGGGAGTGGTTTCTGAGAAATCTGGGGAGACTTGTATGAACTGCCGTAGAGTGAGTAGAACCAGGAGAACAATTTATACGTAGAGACAAACATGAAAGCCATTAGGAATTCTGATCAAAGTAATGATCAGCCATGATTGCAGAGGACTAACAGTGAAACATGCTACTTGTCTTTTGATTGAGAGGTGACACAGAGGTGCAGAATGAGACACACGTGCATATACACATAATTGTCTTTCAGACATAAACCATGCAGCAATTTGTTTGCTTGACTATATGTTTGTAATAGGAGTTTTATTTTTCTTTCATTCTTGGTTGGGATAGGAGGGAGAGAAGGTGCATTTTTGTTCATTAAAGACAATATACAATTTTTTAAATGGAAAAAAAAGGACCTTTATGTATATTGAACATATATTATTAGATGTGCATCGGGAAAAGCAAATATTTGTCCCACACTAATACTTAAGTGTCAGCCCAATTTTAATTTATGCAGTACGTTTAAGTATAACACAAAATAAGCTTGAGGTAAACATTTGTGAAACCTATACTAAGTGTAATTAGAACAGTTAGTAATCTAATAACATCTTTGTGCTCATGAATTAATAGAAAATTCTTAGAGGTCGTGATGGCAGAAGATGGTGTAATCTTGGTATGCAATTATTTCTTCTTTCAGGTAAATATCTTAGGTAAAATAGTGAGCAGAGCAACACCTGGACTACAGAAGTTTTCAAAAACAGCCAGTGTGCTGTGGCTTCTTCAGCAGGAGATGGTTACGTGGAGACTGCTATCCTCTCTTTACAGGTAAAGTTCTGTGGCAATCATAGACAAGATTAGTGTAAATGACAAATCATGAATAAATACATATTTGGGCTTAAAATGAGTAGGGATGAGTTTGTGAAAAGGCTTTGCTATCATGTATTATTTAAAAATATGTTTATTGATATCTTTTGTTTTTACATCTGCTACATTTCCCACTGCATCCCTCTACTTCGTCCTTCCCAGAAAGCGATCTGTTGTTTTTTTTTTAAGAGGAAGATAGAAAAACATTTCAGAAAAATCAATCAACACATCAAAAGAATTTAACATTATATACAGTGGTCAACATCTGTGAAATACCTCTCACTTCCCTTGCAAAGGAGATGTGTCATATCTCTCTTCTGTAGAGCCAAGCTCAGTCATTCTAATTTTGAAACATTCAATTTCCAATGGTTTATGGTTGTTCTTTTTATTTGCATTGTTGTGGTCATTGCATATATTGTTGTTCTAGCTCTGCTTCACTTTGCATGAGTTCATGTAAGTCTTTCCACACTGCTCTGTATTTATCTATTTTGTCATTTCTTACATTCACATATCACAATTATACCATTGCTTGCCTGTTGTAATGAGTGAATCTTGAAAGATTTGCATATACAAGTGTATACACATATACATAAGTGTTTTTTCATCCAGAAGTATACATTAGAATATTAGTTCTCGGTTTTTTATTTTATTTTTCTTATTTTTTTTGCTCATAGCACAATACTTGCCATGCAGACTCACAGCACACTAAATGTTTAAGTTGGCAACAGAGAAGGGTTCCTGGCCTGATGAGCCTCCAGATCCATTACCTAGGCCCTAGGATCCCTCTACCATTTTCCCCGCCAAGCAAAACCTCAGAATTATGGAAGGCTTAGTGGTGGGTATGAGTTTTTTGTAGCACAACAATATGCTATGGCACCCCCTTTTAGAACATTATAGGGTAAAATAATATCTAATCAAGTGCATCTTGTTAGCAGTAAAAAACATACCCGTTTATGTTCTTAATAAAATGACAGTTGTTTTGCTCGTAGGCATCAATGTGTATTAGGTCAGATCAGATATTCATTATCTGACTATCTGATGTAGTTAATACATATGTATTGTTTGGATTTCTATGATCTAAACAAGCATTACAGAGTTTCCATGCCATGTTTTAATAATTAGGTAAGTAAGTATGAATTATAAACTTTTTTTCTTTTTGTGCTTTTTCTGTAGGGACAGAATACAGTCTGTACTAGAAGAAGAAAATGCATTTGAAATTGCTGTAAGTCTTAAGTTAAAGTATTATGAATGGTGTTAATTAAGTATTGAATGGTGGTAATTTTTTTGATGAAGATTTCCTTTCTGTCATGCATACCTTCAGAATGGGGGAAAGTGTTTCTTAGTGATGACGGGATTTAAAATTCTTTTTTTGCATATGATGGAAGGAGCCGTTGCTGGCTCTGGAGTCTGAGATCCTGGGTTCCACTCCTACCTCTAATTGTGATGACTTATGTGGCTTTGGGCTCATCATTTAGCCACCCTGCGATTTAGTTCCCTCATTTGTAAAGTGAGGGGATTGGACTCTGAGTCCTGTCCTGCTCAATGATCTTAAAAATTTCAATAAATTTAAGTCAGTTAAGGATATGTGATCTTTTGTTCTGTGAAAAAACGTCTTCTGTAAAAGATAATATTTGAGAAGGGAATGACAATGAAAGATCTTCAGTATAAAGACATTTGCTTTCCATTTTCTTATGTGTGATAAAGCTGTATCCAGTTGTATTAGATTTTTTTTTCCTTTGAACAAAAATTAAAAGTCTGGGGAAAATGAAATTTTAAAAATATGAATATAATTCAAAGAAAATTCAGCTTGTTTCTGTTATTGGTTTAATTGACTTAATTATCCTCTGTATAGATAGCACTCATATCTATATTTTTCTTATCTATTAATATCTGTTCTATTCTGTGTCTTTCTGTTCTTATCTATGTGAGAACGCTAGATTCTCTTCCTGGGACTGTAGTTTTGCCTCTCCAGTATATTGGACATTTCAAATTGGGTATCCCATTGGAATCTCATTTAACATGTCCAAAACAGTTCATCTTTCTTCTCAAATTCATCCATTTTCTAAACTCTGTTTTTGTCAAAGGCGCTATCATTCTGCTCATGACTTGCATTCACAACTTTGTTTTATTTTCAATTCATTCTTTCTCATCCCAGGTATTCAATCAGTTGTGAAATCTTGTCACTTCTACCCCCACGTCTCTCCCACTGATCCTCTTTCTGCTCACACGACCATTATCCTAGTTCAGGTCCCAGTCACCTCTTTCCTGGACTATTGCAATAACTTCCTATTTGTTTTCTTCTCAAGTCTTTCCATTCCTTAATAAAGCTACTAAAATAATTTTCCAAAAGAGCAGGTCTGACCATGTCACTCCTCAGTAACAGTGATTCCCTATGACCTTTAGAGTCAAAGGAACTCTCTGTTTGGCTTTTAAAGACCTTCGCAACTTGGCCCCCACCTACTTAAACATCATTCCCCTTTCCATATTCAGCAGTCCAGCCAGATTGATCTTACGCTGTTTTTCTTCAAACACAGTACTCCATCTCTTACCTCCATGTCTTTGCACTGGCAGTCCTCCATGCTTGGAATATATTCCCTCCTCATTGCTGCCTGTCATCTTATACTTGCAGCATTTCCTGATCCCCATCCCTTTCCCCCATTTCCCCCCTTCCCATTACATTGTATTTTAGATATTTTGTATATACATATTGGGCATGTATTATCCCCTCTGTTGGAATGTAAACTCCTTGAGGGCAAGATCTATTTCATTTTTTACTATTTTATAACTGGTGCCTAGCAATACATAGTAGGCATTTAATAAATACTTATTGGGTAGGTACAAATGGATTTAATAGTGAGATGTATTCCTGACATTTTTACAAGAAAGAAATTTTTATGAGGAGGAATTTTTACAAGAAGGAAATACAAACATATATTTGTCATTTTATAAAGGTTTAGGTCCCCCTGTAGAGGAACTTACTGAAGTTACTTCCTCCCTACTCTCAAATTTTCTCTTATATGGTTTTGTTGTAATAATATTATAATGGCAGAGTTTTTATTATAATGGAAATGTTTGTTCTTGAACAGTCTCTAAATGCCAGTGAAAAGACAATTGTGGATACACTATTTCAACGAGATTCACTTATTCGACAAAGCCAGGTACGAGATGGGACTTTAATTTTTTAAAATATAGGAAAAAATTCTTTAAAAAAAAACTTACAGAAATACAAACAGCACATGTAAAATTAAAGTTTTTACACTGTATTTTTCCTCTGGATAAATTTACTTAATTTTATTGAAGCTAAGAGAAATAACATGGAAATTATAATACAATCTCCCAGGTTTCTTAATGTGGTAGAGATGAAAAGTACTGTGTCTTCCAGAAGTCCTTCTAGAATTAGCCTTTGAGAAGCTGGCCCATTATACGATTTACTGCTGAAATGTATCTTTTTCTGCTGCTGCAGTTCTAATTACTTGGAAAAATCACCCATGGTTATTTGTCACGCCTAGATAAATTGGAAGAAAATTTAAATGTTTTTACCAAGTTTTTGTTAGAAAGCCTACTTCAAAGAAGTATAGATCTTAAAATTGTGGTTAATAGAATTATTTACTTTTCCAGCTGGTGGTGGATTGGCTAGAGAGTATTGCCAAGGATGACATTGGAGATTTCTCGGATAACATCGAGTTTTATGCAAAATCAGTATATTGGTAAGTCACTGAACATTCAACTCAACATTTATTAAGTCCCTGCTATGGATATACTATTATGCAGGGTGATGGAGAAAATACAAAGTTTTGTTTAGAGCCCTCGTAGAGCTTTGCAATCCAGTAGGTGATAGCTGTTGTTGTTCATTCATTTTATTCGTATCTGACTCTTTGTGACCCCTTTTGGGGGGTTTTCTTGTCAGAGATACTAGAGTGATTTGCCATTTCCTTCTCCAACTCATTTTACAGATGAGGAACTAAGGCAACCTGGGTTAGGTGACTTACCCAGGATCACACAGCTGATAAGTGTCTGAAGCCAGATTTGGACTTAGGAAGTTGAGTCTTCCTGATTCTAGTGCTGGCACTCTATCTGCTATGCCACCTAGCTGCCCCAGGCTGATAGCACTATTACATAAATACTTACAATTAAAAATCATAAAGAAACCATAAGAATCTAAGGAAGGTGCTGAGTGAGATGGAAAGGGGTTGTAATTATGTTGATTAGGAGAATTAAGGAAAATATCTTTGAAGCACGAGCTTTTAATTTGACCTTTAAACGATGTAGAGAATCTACAGGTAGAGAATTGTCAGTCTTTTAGGGCTAGGGAAAATGGTAAGCAATGGTATAGAAGCAGGAAATCTCAGGGAGTGTGCAGGGGATGGCAAATGGTCCTGTTTGATTGGAGTTTAGAGGACATGGTGGTGATAAAAGTGGAAAAGTAGGGTTGGCCTCTGATCTGGAGGGCCACAAATGCCTGACTAAGGAGTTTGAATTTTATTTGATAGAAGGGAACCACGACAGGGTTTTGAGTCAGTGGGTGATATGACATGACATGACATGACATGAATGTAGAAGATAACTTCAGCACTTCAGGGGTCCATAATTTCTTTAGTGTGGGTGCTGCTTTCACCACTGTGAATCACTGGTACTCTGTACCTTGGTATATGGTATGTGTTCGTCTCCTGAGGAGAAGTCAGCCATTTCAACCAACTACCACTGTCAGGGCAGGCAAGGCAGCCTAGCTTAAGCAGCAGGGCACCCCAAGGGAGAAATAGAAGGCAGCATGTGCCAGGCAAGTCAAACTACCCCTACCGCCTTGGCTACCCTCTCCCCTCAGACCCCAATGGTGATGGTCTGGGACTCCAAACCCAAGAGCCTTAGGAATGTGTTTCAAGCCCAGTGCCCTTGGCTATCATCCTGGAGAGCAACCCTCATGGAGAGGTAGCCTGGCAGCTGCTCCTACAAGTGGTCCGGTCACAGCTACCGAAGCCTCAGAGAAGAACGCTCTTGGCACCAAAGTCCTTGGCACTGTCAAATGGATCAAAATCAGAAACTGATATTATTCTGTTAGTGGAAAAGAGATAAAGAAGAGACATCACAGTCTGCTTTGCTGCTGTACTCTAAGGACCCTGGGTCCTTTCTACCTGACTTGCAGCTGAACCGTTCCATTAGCGTGTCTCCCCTATTAGAAGGTGAGCTGCTTGAGAGCAGAGGCTGTCTGACTTTTCTGTTTATATCCCCAGAGCTTAGCACAGTGCTTTGCCCAAAGGAAATGCTGAATGAATGCTTTATTCATTTATTCATCCTTGGAGACAAGTATTAAAATCATGTGAAAACTGTTCATAGGATGTGTGATAAAAGAATAATGCATTATCAGCCTGCTGCATCTCTATAAAAAACTACAGCAAGCTGGCTAAAGGCAGTCATTAAAATTAGGATTAGCCCAGCTGAACTTGGAGAAGCTCGCTAGCTCTTTGGCTGCAGAATAATTGATTTTTCGTCAAGAACAATGCTTGAAGACCTCCTACTGAGAAGTTGAGGTCTGCTTTAGTGGATGGAGTACCCAGACAGAAGAAACCAGAGATCCTTGAATTATTGAAGAAGAAAGCAGAACTGCTTTGCTTAGCAAATCACCTTTACATGTGTTCCCTTTTTACCAGAGGTGAATAAAATAACCCCAACTTTTTGTCTAATTCTCTTTAAAAAGAGAGAAAAGGAAAGAGACATTCTGGCCAGCTTTTTTTGATGAGCCTCTCCAGATTTGCCTGCCTGGTCCTCCAGAGCAGATCTCTGTCACCAGGCCCGTAGTTGAAGCCTTTCCAGCTTTAGAGGACTTGTCAGAGTTAACACTCTGTTGGTATGATCTTCAAGGACCGTGTCTTGGCGAGGCATCAGAATAAAGCTGTTGTGGAAGAAGGAAGATATTTAGCATTATTGTTACAAAGAACTGAATAATAATTTCTACTTTGAGGCGTTATTTAGCATGGCCATTGCTCAGGAGTCTAGAACCATGGTATTTGTTATGTACTTTTGAAAAGTCTATTTGTTAATGTACCATAAGTATCTGAAAGTTTTAAGTTCTATATTGGATTCCATAAAAGTCCAGTTAATAAAAACTGCTAAAGTTTTTTCAGACTATTTTTTACCCATAAAAACTTTGTAATTGAAATAAGCCCTTAGAATGAAGGTCACTTTTTAAATTTTTTTTTTTCAATTAAGAAACATTTTCTTCTTCCCACCCCCTACAATGGGGGGGAGGGAGATGATGCAAACCATTACAACAAATATACATAGTGAAGCAAGACAAATTCCTACGTTGCCCGTGTCCAAAAAATGTCTCATTCTGCCTATTTAGTCCGTCGCCTTTCTGTCAGGAGGTGGGGGGTCGTTCATCATTCTACCATTTTTAATACTTTGCTAATGATAGCAAATACAATATGCTATCAAATGGTCTTTCTTTGCTCTTTTTTTTTTATAAATTTATTTATTTTTGGTTTTCAGTGTTCACTTCTGTAAGACTTTGAGTTCTAAATTTTCTCCCCTTTTCTCCACTCCTCCCGCCCCAAGGGAACCTGATAACAGGCTATCCGTGTACAATCATGTTAAACATATTTCCGCATTAGTCATGTTGTAAAGAAGACTTAGAACCAAAGGGGAAAACCAGGAGAAAGAAGAAGCCAAAAAAAAAGAGAGAGAGAAAATAGTATGCCTTGATGTGCATTCAGACTCCCAGTTCTTTCTCTTAATGTGGTTAGCTGCTCTTTCTCTACAGGCTGTATTTTAGCCTTCCAGTAAAGTCCCTCCAGCACATCTCCAGTGACCTGTCACTTTGGACTCCTTTTTCTCATATTCCTTTGCCCTAACACCTGCCAGTAACCATAAGCCAAGGAGCACTCTTGGACAAAAGATGACTTGATTTAAAAAAAAAAATGTTTAAAGCTCAGATTGCCTTTGATTTTTATAGAACTCTGAGGTTGGTTTAGTGGTTGCTTTTTTTTTTTTTCCCTCGTTCATTCGCCAGAAATAAAGTCTGTAGCTTGACTAATCTATTCCTAATTAGGATATTACTTCTATAAATTTGCATTCTTTATATGACTTATTGAGGTTAGACTAGACCACTTTAATGAGCATTTCTTTAATAAATACTTGCCTATGCACTTTGATTTTAGTGAAATGGTCAAATTTCTTATTACTACCAGAAAGCAGCTTTATTGGCTGGAGATACCTTTGTCTCAAGGGAACCAGCTTATGTTCTGAGTAGTTCTGCATCAAATTGTATTGTACTTTTAGGTTCCCTGTTTGCAAAATGAGAAAAATAATATCCACTGGAAGACAAAAATTAGTAAAATTCCCTTTTTAATGTTAGTGTTGGGATGTTGCATTATTACTACCTGTATACTGGGTTAATCTACCGGGATTTTACTATGGAAGGTGCTATGTGAGTTGAGACATAAGTACTCTTTAATCATGAGCTATAATGAAAAAGAGGGGGAGTTCTAATGTGCCTTGCAGTTTTAGAGGAAAGGTTCTAGTAAATATAAAATATCCCTAGAAGTAGGGGGGAAATACCTGTTGTAATTATGATTCCAGCCTAAGGAACACATGGCATTTATTTGCCTATGGGGGAAAAACCCTTCACATAAATGTCAGTCTGGTACTAGCATTAATCTTATAGTAGTAGGTGTCAGCTGCTGTAACAGGTAAGAGTAGCAGTGCTCTTGTGGAGTTAGCCTCAGTACTAGAGAATTGTTTTCTTACACAGCCAGACGTCGCAAAAAGCAATTTTAACAAATGTTCTTATTTACCACATCCTATCCTCAGTACTTAACACTTCAGTGAATCTGTCTTCCTTTTGGTGCAGTCCACATCACAACCCATCACCCCTTCTTACCCAGTTTGATTCTTACTCATGTCTTCCCTGAAATCCTCATGAAGGGTCTGCTCTGTGCAGTGGAGGCCTTCCTCTAGGACTTGCGGATACCAAGACAGTACCAGCCTGTCCATTTGTTATCCCTCACTCTTACTACATCTTCTGGATTAGATCTCTATGCCACATCTTGTGTTCAACGACTTGTTGGAAATGTGCTCTGGCCTATTTACGCCAGCCACACATTTTTCTGTTTGTTTATTTATTACACCTAAATCAGGCTCTTGTTAGTGCCTGCCATGTGTCTTTCTTTTTCCCCCCTTCACCCATGCCTTTCCCTCCACCATTCCTTCTCCTACCAGAGTTCTTGAACTGTGAACCATGGTGAGATCAATTTTTCCATTGTTCCTGGATGTATTACGTCATCTCTTCTCCTATGAACCCACTCACTATACCTGTGTAACTTTCCCACCAAAATAGCCTTTTCTGATCACCACTCCTCTTTGTGAATTATCTCTCTAGAAGGTAAACTTCATGAGCACTGGGACTGTGTGTTTGTATCCTCCGAACTTAACAGAATGTGAGGCACATTTTGAGTGCTTAATAAATATTTTTTTCATTCATTCATTCCAAGATTAAAATACTCCATGGTTCACAGTCCTGTAGAATTACTGGCAGAATTTTGGTGTTTTAGGGAGTAGCTTGGGATAATTGAGCACTGCACATTTTTCCAAATTGTCTTCCTGTTGAATTTTGTCCTAGCTTATCATAAGGAATCTCTTTTCCATTTAGACTTTGCACTGAACATCCTTTAGAACAGAGGTGTCAGACATATGACCTGAGGGCTGAATGTGGTGCATAATACTTCTCAGTGTAGCATAAACCAGATTAAAATATAAATGAGAACTATTTAACAAAATAAATTAAAATATAGTAAAACATAGGTAACATTACGTTTAAGTCAGTGTATGTCTTGCAGGAATCCTTAGTGGCTCCTATTTCTATCTGAGTTTGACCCCACTACTCTATAACACAGCCAAGTAACCTTGTCAAGCATACATCTCTCTTTTATGCCTCATTTGATATTGATAATCAGTTATGAAATGAAATAATCGCCATTGTATCCATCAAGAAATCTTAGGTGATTTTAACTTGTATATGAGAAACATCTTTTTTGGCAGCAAGCTTTTAAGGGCACATTTACTCTACCAAATTAGATGCTACTTTAAAAAAAATTATCATTTTGCTTTAATGGAACAGACTATTCCAAACAAATCTCTTTATCAAGTACATTCCCTCATCAATTATTGTTATGTTTTTTTTTACAGAGAGGAAGAGTGTATCCTTTAACTTTTTTTGGCTAGGCAGTGGGGTTAAGTGACTTGCCCAGGGTCACACAGCTAGTAAATGGCAAGTGTCTGAGACTGGATTTGAACTCAGGTCCTCCTGACTTCAAGGCCAGTGCTCTATCCATTGCACTACCTACTTACCCCCGTGCCCTTTAAATTTGATGAGGTGCCACTATTAACCATTGTATTTGACTGTTGTTTCGTTGACTCTCCTTGTTGACCTAATTTTTTGGCTTAGTTTTTTTTTAACGTAATCAATATTGTCAACAAAGGAGTATCTCATATTCTTTGTACCTTTCAAAACATAGATGAATGAAGATGTGGATTGCAGTGGAATATTATTTATGAAAGCCTGCCTTTTCTCATTTTCATCACAGATGGTGTTAGTTGTTATAGAGATAAGAAATTTGGTATATAGAACATGCCATATATGCCAGCATATAGAATGATGTCTTCTTAATCATCTTCCTTCTAGAACAAAGGTTCCCAAACTTATTTGGCTTACCGCCCCCTTTAAAAAAAATTAACTCAAACCCCCCCCCCCCCGGAAATCTACTTCATTTAACCCTTCAATTTTTTTTAAAATTTGTGTCATTTCAAGAAAATAAATTTTTTAATGACATCTTAAATTTAATAATTTATTGTAAATTTGTGGATTTTTTCCCTGCATTGAAATTTTGATGATATAATATTACATCATTTAACTTTATGCTTTCGTATTGTAAATAAGTCATTATACTCATATATTCCTGCCCACGTATGCTGGACTTCCCTGCAATGCATGTGTGACACACTTGCCTGCCAACACTTGTTTGTTAAGACTTGACCATTGATTGGTTAATAACTTGGATTTTGTGTGTTTCTTTGGAAAGTAATGTAATCACTACTACTTTAACTCTGTTACACAACAGATGAAACATGTACGAACAGTTTTTCAAGATTTTTTTGTCTTTTATGTTTCCACCGCCCCCTTATTTTTCTTCAATGCCCCCCAATTGCATCTGAGGCTACTACTGCTCCCCTGGATCAGTCCAGTGCTCCCCAGGGGCAGTATTGCCCACTTTGGGAACCTATGTCTAAAGCAGGCCTGCACAACATACAGCCTGCCTGGGCAGAGGCAGTATGTTGTACTGGTCTGTATTTATATCCTCTACATTTTTCGTGGGCCTCCTAAATTCTTTGGCAAGCTGTATGTTGTGCAGGCCTGGTCTAGAGCAATGATGTGTGTGACTTTTTTCCATTTGTTGAGTATCTTTTCTTCTTTCAGGTAGCTTAGAATGCTCAACCTCAAATTGTGTAATCTCTAGCACAGACTCCTGTGACTGCTTAGTTCGGGATCCAGTTGCTTTTTCCACCTTTACTTACTTTGCTATTTCTTCTTCCTTGGACAGCCCACTGGGGATTGATGATATAGTTCATAAGGGATGGCTCCCCTGTCATTAATAGAGAAAATGATTTTTTGTGGAAATGTTGGCAAACCTTTTCCTTTTTCTGTTTTCCTTCCAGTCTCATTTTTAAATGCTTTTGGGATAAATTTAGGGTTAGAAGTCTGAAGGTTAGGGTTAAAATTGCAGGCAGAGGGGGAGAGTTAAGGTTAGAATCAGATGGAGTCAGAGTTGGGGTTAGGGTTAGGGTCAGAGATGAATTTAGAGTTAAATGATCTGCCTCAATCTTTCTGCAAACTCATTTTCTCCTAACTTGGTTTGTTTTGTTTTTTTATTTGTTTGTTTTGTTTTTGCCTTTTTGTGGGATGATTCTGATTGTAATCTTTGTTTATCCTACTCTTAAGGCTTTATAGATGAGTATACTCTAAGCCCATCATGCTATTGGCTGCCATTTTTCTGTTTAGCAAAGAAATCAAAGTTTTGGGGAAGAGGCAGTTTTGGAGCTCTTTTGGCCTCTTTGTTTTGGGTGTTGCTTTGCGTTGGATGAGTTTCTGTAGAAGTGGCCCATGTTGGCAAAATTCATTTGAATAATTTGGGTTTTATCTGTTCTGATTTAGTATTTTTGCTTTAGTAAGTTAGTGGAGTGACTATACACAGCTGGTTTGGAAATATCTCTTGCATCAATAGCTAGCCATTTTCTGTCAACATATAGTCAGTTTAATTTTTTGTGATAGTATTTAGTGCTCAACATGCCCATCACCTCTATAAAGAAAATATTCATGATACACAGGCGTGGAGCTCATGTGTAGTCTATAAGCCTTTGATCTCTTGTTTCTTAACACTGAACCATATTTTCCAACATATTTGTAACAAGTACTTAGCACAGTGCCTGGCACATAGTAGGAGCTGTGTAAAATATTTATTCCCTTCACATTTTCCTCATGCCCACCTTGACATTTATGTCACAGAGTATTAAATTTTATGTTGATTATGACTAGAGGATTTTATCAGGTTTTTTATAGAATGTCTCTCCCTTTTCATTCTCTGCAATAGATGTTGATTCACATAAGCTGCAGTTTGGGTTGGTCTTTTTACTTTATGCTTATCATTCAAGGGAACATGACTAAGTGTTCCATGAAATATTTCTTGTTTTTGGGTACATGATGAAACAAATTTTTCTAACTCTTTTTATTTGCCGCTCCAAGGAGAGCCTGTGAGCCATCCTTCAATTTAACTGCAATTTCTGATTTAATTTATAGCAAGAATTTCAGAATTGGTATGATTCACTTGTCCTAGTAGTATGACTACTTGTTGGTAATTGCAAAGGGATCTTCTGTGTATAGTACCAACAGCTTATGGACTGTCTAAAATCTGTGACTCTTAGCACTCCTGTGCTCCCTTTTCTACCATCTACCACCATTTCTACACACAGTGGAAGGGTGCTACACAGTATGGAAGCCCATTTTGTGTTTTTCTTTGGATCATGAGTTTCTGTGGTCAAAAAAGTAATAAACTAGTGGCAGTTCTATTGGTAGTCAACTTCTCCATGCTGAGTTAGGCTCATTCTGAGATAGCCGAGACATTTTGTTGCCAGGACTGTGCAACAAGCCCATCTAGCATGAGTTAAAACCAGAATAGCTTTTGAGAGCCCAAGGCCATCTCCACAGTGTGATAATACATTGCAGTAGAACTTTTATGGAGCATTTTTGTGTTACCACATAATTTTACATGATTTTTATGTAGAGAATTAACGTGAAATAGTTGTGAAACGTAAAGATCATGATTTGCAGAGATTAAGAATATTCATATTTTTAACAAAATTATTTTTGAAAAAAGGTAAAAATAACCTTTTTGAGTTCAGGGTTTTTGAAAGTTTTTAGTATTTTTGTACTCCCAATATAATTGGTTACATTTTTTAACATTACAAAAAATTAGATATCTAAAAAAATATTTAAAATATGACATGCTTTTATTTTCAGGGAAAACACTCTACATACCTTGAAACAGCGACAATTAATACCACATGTTGGAAGTGTTCGTCCTCTCGTTACTGAATTGGTAAGTGTTACATGAAGGAAAGACTGCTACAAAAAAAAATTTAATAGTTGTTTTGGGGATTGAGAGTGTTTATCTTCTGTAGGTTCCTTGTATTTAGTTGGTTTCTAAATTTTAGCCTAGTAAAAAATATTTTCAAAGTATTTTAAGCTTCAGCTTCAGTATTTGACCTTCCAGTTGTAAAATAGAAATAGCGATTCTTTCATGAACCACCTCATAGGGTTGTTGTGAGAACAATTCTTTGTTAAAGGACTTGGTAGCTGTGGACTGTTGATGCACTTATTTCCTTCCCTCGCCCGTCTTTTCAAACAACATTATGAAAGGTCTCTTGTTAATAGGTAGAATGTTATTATTATTATAGAATATTATTCTAGAATAGCTTTGGGCACCATTGTGATCAAGATGAATTGACTGATGAATTTTCATTAACTAAATCTTTGTTTCAGGACCCTGATGCACCTATAAGACAGAAAATGCCACTTGATGATTTGGATCGAGAAGATGATAACAGATTGCTCAAATACCTTTTCACACTTATCCGTTCTGGGATGACAGAAGAGGTGAACCAGAGAAAATCCCTCCCTTGCCCACTGTTACCCCTGTTTTCTTATGCTCTTCCTTGTGTTATTTAAGATTATTCATGTAGGATATTAATTGTGCGTTGGATTAGGTGGTGTACCTGAGGACTCTGTGTTTAAACCTTGGCCTGAGCCTCTGGTGACTGGTTACGCTGATGGCTCTTCCAGTGGGGCGGAGGGTGGGGAGAGGTAGGAGAGTCCAGTTCAGGAGTCTCAGAGGTTGTCCTAGCCCCTGTTTTGCACAGTTTCCCCTTTGTTGTGCTCTTTGAATGGCTACGCGGAATTGTGACATGTAACGTATTCTGTACTGATTATTGCTAACTTTTTTTTACTCTTTTTTTAAACGCTTAAAGAAAAAGAATCCTTTTCTTTTTACTAACTAACTGTCCTTTCTTGTTTTTGTAGGCACAGCGTCTCTGTAAACGTTGTGGTCAAGCATGGAGAGCTGCAACACTTGAAGGGTGGAAATTGTATCATGATCCTAACATTGATGGAGGTACTGTAGGGAATTTCACAGATGTCCGTGTCTGAGAGATGTAGCTTTTGTTTGAGCCTCTGGCAGTGTCTGAGGGAAGGATTTAGTATTCTAAATTATATTCCACTTGTCTTCCCTTGCTGTTTTTATTCTAGGAACAGAAATAGAACCAGTGGAAGGGAATCCGTATAGATGCATTTGGAAAATAAGCTGTTGGAGAATGGCGGAAGATGTAAGATAATCAATCAAGCTGTAGTAATGGAGCCTTTTTTAAATATAGAGCACTGCTTCTGCTGATATGTTATTGATTAAGTAGCTCTTTTTGAAGGTGTTAGAAGTTTAATCAGCAGATATTTATTGAATACTTAACTGTGTGCAAGTATTATGCTTTCATTTTCTATGTCATTACTGTTCATCTAGTCTCTTGTGTTTTAGAACTTGAGGTATGTCTAATTCTTCATTTCTTGTATTCAGTCAGTTACCAAAGCCTATCAGTATGCTTTCTACAACATTTTTCATATTTGTCCTTTCCGTAGTCCCATTGCCACCACTGTAAAACAGTCCCTAATCCCTTACCTAGGTGTTGCAACAATCTCATCATGAAACTTTTTGCCTCCAATCTGCTTCCTCCAAATATTCCATTATGCCATTGCTGGAATAGTATTTTTACTATGAGTAATAAATAGTGATATTAAATACAAATAGCATTTTTACTGCATAGATCTATTCTTGTCATTCCTCTACTCCAAAATCTTAAGTGGTTCCCTATTTCCCAAAGAGGCAAGGTCAAGCTCTTTTGCCTGGTATTCAGGGCCCTCACCACTCCAGCATCCCTCCCTTCTTCCATCCGTATTTCACGTTACTCCCTCCACGTACTCAGTGCAGTAGTCATGCTAGAAAGCTACCCTTGTTTGTGCCTCATTCTTTGTTCTTGTTCCTGTTATTCCCTCTGCTTCTTGTGTTCTCTCTTCCTTTCTTCGCCTGTTGAATTCTTGTTCGTTCTTTAAAGCCCAACTCACAGGCCACCTTCTCCATGAAGTTTTCCCTAATTCCAGGGAGAGGGAGGGATTGAGGAGGGGCATAAGGGAGGAATGGACACAAAGTGTAAAGTATCTGGAAAGTTAAAGCTCACTACAAAATTACCATACAGAAGATTGGTTTCATCCAGAAGATAATTTTGGTAACTTTAAGGTTCTGTTATGTGCAAGGCACTGTGTTTAGTACTGTGGGCAGTACAGAAAGAATAAAACCTGTTCCTTGCCTCAGTAGAGTTTATAGTCTAGTAGATGTCACACAGTAGTGCATGATGAATTCCTAAGTGAATGGTACAAAAAATCTGCCATGGGTTTAGAGAAAGGAGAGAATATTGTTAGTTTGAGTATGCTGGGAAGGAAGGCCCTTTAAAGAAGGGACTTGAGCTGAGTCTTAATAGGATTTGGATAGGAGAGGGGGAGGGAGGAAGGTATTCCAGGCAGGAAGAGCACAGACACATACAGGGAAGCAGGAGAGTGCAGAGCATGGTTAGCTGAAGAAGAAACTTGTTTGTGTAAGGAAGGAAGGCTGTAAAGGTCGGGATGCCTAGAAATGGGCTACATATACCATGTTGGGACTTTGGGTTTCAGTGGGGAGGGGGACTGGAACTTGAGTATTTTAAGAAGATTAATCTGAGAACAGTATAACAAAGTACATTGAAGAGAAAAGATTAGAAGTATTTAGGAGGGGTCTGAAAGGACTGACAATTGACTAAGGAGTCAAAGACGATGGATTTCAAGCCTCACTGACTAGGAGAACGATGCTTCCTCTCTTAGGAATGGGGAAGTTGGGACAAAGAATAATAGTTGGGAGTTGGGGGAAAGAATGTGTTAGTTTTGTGGCACATAAAATTAGGTGCAAAGTAGGAAGTCTTTAATATGACATCCTTGTTTCATGTTTCATAAAAATATAGCTCACTATTGAGGTTGTGGTTAATAAATTTCTGCAGAAATTTACGTTTTGTATTTAAATGTTAATTACCTTGTGTATGGATGTCTGAATGATAATCTGAATAAGTAATCATATCATTCACTATTCACAAATCACTCCCTCACTTTCAAATTTAGATGTTATGTTTACTCAAATTGCCGGTGTTGGTTTTTCCACCAGACAATTAATTTGGTAGATATGCTATTTGGAAACTATTAAATAAATAGAGATTAGTGTAGGAAAATGTATAAAATTCCAGTTTGGAACTTAAGGGAATGAATTAGGAGGAATTGAATCATTTAAGTTTGTTTATGCCCATTTGTGTTTTAGGAGCAGTTTAATAGATATGAGAGAGCAATCTATGCTGCCTTAAGTGGGAACCTCAAGCAGGTATGTTAGCCTTTTTTATATTAGTTTGCAGTGTTTTTCCATTGATCAAAGTTGGGTACGTAAGATTTTCCAGTAATCTATACATAATTCATAAATGAGTGATATTATTATAGAGTATTATAAATAAGGGATATTCACAATAGGATACTCCAATGTCTTACTGGTTATCTTATCACAGACATGTAATAAGCAATTCCCCTGTTTGAATATATTTACTGAAGATTAATATAAAATTTTATTATTATACTAATAAACATTTTTAACCACACATGCTATCCCAGTTTATATTCAGAAACAATAAATGCATGGTTGCCTGTTTAAACTAGATTTTGATGGGATTTTTTTCCTGTCTTGGGAGATGTTAAATTAGCTAGTTGAAATGTTATATAAAGGGCATTCCACTGTGAAATCAGTATGGAAGATTTCTTAGCATTGCAAACCCTTTAGAAGATGATGTTTATAATATGAAGAATTAGGTTCTCCCTGAAATTGGATAAAAATCGTATTTTTGATGACAGCTTTACTTTTAGGCAAATTATGTTCCAGATGATTTTTTGTATATTTGTAATTGTTTTCTTTCTGGATGGGGAAAAAAGCTTCTCCCAGTCTGCGAAACCTGGGAAGATACAGTGTGGGCCTACTTTAGGGTGATGGTGGACAGTTTGGTGGAACAGGAAGTTCGGACCTCAGTTGTATCATTAGATGAAACTGAAGAACTGCCTCGAGAATATTTGGAAGCAAAGTGAGTCTTCAGTGGCCACAGTAAATTTTGTTTTCTAAAGTATGTCTTATGGTCTTCCTCAAGGTTATTAACATTTTCTCCCTGTCCCTGTTTTTCTTTCTTTCAAAGTTGGACTTTAGAAAAAGTTTTTGAAGAGCTTCAAGCTACAGATAAAAAGGTAAATATTTAAATTATATGTTCTTAGGCTATACCTTGGGATAAAAAAAATAGATAAAAACTAATTACTGATAGATGCTTTGGTGAAAGGCAGAAATTAGAAACTCAGTTTTTGTCCCATCCACATTTTCATGTCACTGCTTTAAAAAACAAGGACCAGTCTCTCTCAGTTCTTGCTTCATGCCCTCATGGCCCCAATCTCCAGTCTAGATTTAGTGGAGATGTAATTAGTCTTTATCCTGTTCTTTTACTGAACACAGTTCACATCCAAATAGATGTTTTGAATGTAATAAGCCAATTGTTTCCATTGAAAGCTCAGGATAAATAATGGGAAGTCCTTGAAAAGAATCTTTATTTACATAGGTCCTAAAATAATAATAATCACTACTACTTATACTGTACTTTAAAGTTTTCAGAAGTGCTTTATATAAGTAGAGTTTCATTTGATTTCCTGTTTTACAGATGAGGAAACTAAGGCTGAAAGGTTAGGTGATTTGCCCAGGGTCATGTATTTAAGGTCTGAGGCATGATTTGAACTTTGATCTTTCAGACTCTCAAGTTATCTCTCTTTCGACTATACCACCACCTAGTTACCACAGAAAAAGCTATCTAGTTTAATCCAAATGTCAGTTCTGGAAATCTACTTTTAAGATTTGTGGGGGTGTGTGTGTGTGTGTGTGTGTGTGTGTGTAACTGAATTTATGAACTTTGTGTATTCCATGTTTTAACAGTCCTCTGATTTTTGTTTTTTAAGTCATCTGGTAACCCTTATCACTCAACTTTCTTTTGACCTAAGTTCTTTCAGAAGTCAATGAATATTACACTGCTGAATAGACATTCTAGATGAGTGAATGGTTTATGGAAAGTGTGAATTATTTTTCAGAGAGTTTTAGAAGAGAATCACGAACACTACCATATAATTCAAAAATTCCTTATCTTGGGTGACATTGATGGTAAGCTTTTTTCAGTCTTATTTTGTTTGAGTGATTTTCTCATTGTATTGTTCATAATATTCTTTAAGCGTGAGTGGGAAAACTATATGAATGACTCTCAACAAATCATTTAAAGTTTGTAAAATCAACTAGTTCCCAGTGTTTGGTTCTTCTAGTTGTTTGTTCATCAACCACTTTTATGTTACAAAGGGTACAGAAAACTATATAGCTATGTGGAATTCGAGTTTAAAGAGTTAAGGCATATTTAGCAACCTTTCAGAAGGTTAACAAGGTGTTAATTGTACAGGTAAATTATTGGAGCAATCAGGAGGGAGATAGCACCAAATATTTCTTGGTTGTGACTATTCTCTTTCTCTTGGTTTTACCACTAATGTTGAATATTTGGTTAATTTGTTATAGGTTTGATGGACGAACTTAATAAATGGCTTTCCAGAGGAAGGAACATTCTACCAGGACACCTTCTCCGCTTCATGACCCATCTCATTTTGTTTTTTCGTACTCTGGGAATACAGACCAAAGTAAACAAAAACGGCTAGTCTGTCTTTCATATTTGTTCAACAAATATGTATTGTGTCTGCTGAGTATAGAGCAGTGTGTTGAGCACTAGAAGAGGGACATAGTTAAGTAAGAAATAGTTCCCGCCTTCATGGAACTTTTGTGGTAGGAAATTAGACACAGGCATAGATAAAATAAGATAATAAGCTACTTTACAGAAGTGAAAAAAACAAAGCTCTGTGTGTATCAAGGGGGGATACTAATAATAATAGTAGTGATTGGCAGTTAGGTGACGCTTCAAAGTACTTTGCGTGTAACATTCCAAGAAAGAAGCCTCATCTGAGGTGGCATCTAAAACATGGGTAAGAATTTGCTGGTCAAAGTGTGGAAGAGAGATGGCATTTCAGGTCTAAGGACCAACCTAAGCAAACAGAACTGGGAGAATAGAAGGCATGATTAGACAGTAGACAATCCTATTTAAACAAGAGTGGGAAAAGTACCAGGAGAAGAGGCTGAGAAGAGAGAGTGGCGCCAGATGGTTGAGGCTTGTCCACGCCAGGCAGAGGGGTGTGAATTGGACTCAGGAGACAAAAGCCATTGGTGACTTTTTGAACAGAGGCATCACATGACGATGTCTGTGAGTAAAACTTATTGGCAGCTATGATGTGAGATCAGATTAGGGTGGAAAGACCTAGCCAAAGATGACTGCGGTGCTCTGGGTTTGTGGTAAGGGGAGCCTGTACAAAGGTGGAGATAGAGGAGAAGGGATGAGTGCTGGAGAGCCTTCAGAGGTAGACTTTGCCAGGTGAGGTTTGGAGGAACCAAGGAAGAGTGGGGCTACAGACAGAAGTAATTAAAGAAGTTCTTTTAGGGAGACAAGTCATAGGATCATGGATCTCTAGCTGGATGGAACCTTAAAGGTCACCTAGGCTAATCCTCTCATTTTAGAAATGAGGAAACTGAGGCCCAGTGATTTGCTCGCTGGTAAGTGGCAGAGCTAGGTGTCAAATTCAGGTCCCGTGACTCAAGTGCTCAGGTTCAGTGCTCTTTTTACCACACCTGGTGAGTTGAGTTTTGAACATGTTGAGTGTGAGGTGCCAGTGGGTCATGCAGGTGGAAGTGTCTGCTACGTGGTTGAAACTCTGAGACTGGAGCTCAGAAAAGTGTTCTGGACTAGCTGGAGAGATTTGGATGTTTCATAGCATGCAGGTGGTCATCAAAGCTACGGAACCAAGTGATGACAGATGAAAGAAGAGGGCCAAGAATAGTTTTAGGGAATGTCCACATTGCAGGATCAGGAGGAGAATGAGGAGCCAGAGAAAATGGTTTAGGTATTTGGAATGTGAACCAGGAAAGTGTAATGTCTTGAAGTGAAATAGAGTACCAAGTGAGAAGAGATGGTCAGTAGTATCAAATGCTGAATATGGTTCAAGAAGATGGATCCTTGATTTAGCAGCAAAAATGTCATTGACCTTTAAGCAGCAAGGGCTGGGGTGCAAACTGTTTTGCAGTGGGGAAGAGGAAAGTGTGGGTAATGAGGAAGTTCAGGCATGAAGCTGGCACTGAGTGGCAGGCATGCCAAATATGTGACAATTGTCGATGGAGTTGAAATATTGAAGACTTTTTAGAATTGGGGAGGCCTGAACTTATTTGTAGTTAGGTAGCAAAGAGCCATTGGAATGAGAGATACATGATCAGTGGGGCCTTGTAGCAAATGAGAGGGAGAGGGATAAAGGAGAGAGGTCAGCGATTAGATCTGAGTCTGGAAATAAGCCTTTTGAGAGCCAAGTGGTGAGAGTGATTTTGGGAAGTTTAGAGAAATGGAGGAGGGGACTTGAGGGAGATCACACCTGACAGACGGCCTGAATCATCTCAGTGGAGTCAGAAGGCCGTGGTGTCTGCCCCCAGGGGTACTTGGCAGCAAGGGGAGAGAAGTGGAGGTCTGCACAGTTATCATGGTGCTTTTGCAGCAGGTCATCAGCAGGACATGCTTTGAGAGTTCTCCATCAGTAACGACAGGTTTCCAAAGGACATCTGCACGTTTTTTGCAGAGTCACTTTTATGATGCATGTGTAGTTGAATGACCTCTAGCCAGAGAAGAAAGTAAGCTTCCAAGTCCTGACCTTGATTCTGACCAAAGTAAATTTGAGTTCACTCCAGTGATTAGACTAGTAAAGCCCAGTAACTGAAATGGCTAATGTATGGTACTTAAATTGTATTTCATATTTGTTTTAATTTATATGTTAGCCTCCATGTAAGAATCTCAGGATCCTCGTCCACTAGTAGAAGTTCTTTTATATTGCTGTGGCATATGAGCTGTTCTGTGTGTTTATCACTGAATATGTGTGCTTATTTTTTCCCCCATAAAGGAAGAAGTGTCTGTGGAAGTTTTAAAGGCCTACATTCAGGTAAATGGCAAGAATCTCACATTTGAAACTTAATGAAAATCAAATTAAAAGTAATATTTAGCTCATTTTAGATAGAAAAGTCACCAAAGTAATGCCCATGAACCAGGGGAGATCATTTAATTATCATTAAGTGCATTTTAAAGTTCAGAGTCAGTGACTGTTTAGCACTTTGCTCTCAGTTTGGTTTGCTCTGTTTACTTCTATGGTATATATTGAGCATCTTTCTATATTGCAGCTGTTAGTATGTGAGAAACACATCAACCTCATAGCATTTTATACTTGCCACTTGCCTCAAGATCTAGCCGTTGCTCAATATGCAGCATTTTTGGAAGGTGTTACAGAATTTGAACAGCGTCATCAGTGTTTGGAACTGGCTAAAGAAGCAGGTGAGGCGGGTTGCCCATTTTTCTTGGAAGTAGCCAGTAGGTCATTTTGTGCCCTGCTCGACTGTAATCTGTCTCACTAGTGACAAAACTTGGAAAATGTTCCTTTTGAGAGTAACTCTTATCTGTTCTGTAGATGTATGTTTTAAGATAGGATGAAGGTTTTTAAGAGTCCTTAGAGTCTGTCATTTACTTTGATCACCTCTAAACCAGTGAGTTGCTAAGTAGTGCTGTGACAGATGCTGCTGGAGCCTGCCAATGATAAGTATTAGTGGGGATATGTGTTCACCTTATTCTACTTAATTTTATAAGGTGGCAATACTCAGATTCTTTGAAATCTTTCTCTGGTCCTGAGTTGTCCATAAGCATTTTTTTTTTCATTGTCTAGGTCTGGATGTTGCAACAATAACAAAAACTGTGGTTGAGAACATTCGAAAGAAAGATACTGGTGACTTTAGTCATCATGATACGGCACCTTCCTTTGATACTGTCACTACAGAGGTATAGTTATAAAAACCAGAGAAATGCTATGCGGACAGTTTTCCCCAAGCTTTTCAAGTATGTGAAGCTCTTTTTTAACATTGAAAACTTCCATAAATTTTCAGACCATTTCTCCAATATGATTATTTTTTTTAATTCTAGTGTCCATTGATTGAAGAATACATAATATAACCAAAGGGTATTATGAATTCTCTAGCATTTATAAATGATTTTTATTATTTACATCAGCAGCAACATTTGAAAAAAAACATTCACACTGTACATTTTGTTGTGCAGCTATATGAAGAACAGAGGACAATACTTGTTGTGCATATGGATTTGCAGAAACCTTGCAGTAACTCATGTGACCCATAGGTCAGAACCTTTCTGGCACAGAAATCCTCTGTGATATTACTTTATGGACCTAATTTCAGTGAATTAGCCAGAATCCTTTATACAGCAGATTGAGTTCAACTAATGGGTGATAGTCCATTTTGGCTGGAATAGAGAGTGTATGGAGTGTAATGTAAATAAGGCTAGAAAGGTAGTTGGACTCAGATTGTCAAGGAGCTTAAATGCCAAACTCAAGCATGTATACTTTATCCCGTAGGCAGTTGGAAGCCACTGAAGGTGGTCCCACATCGGAACTTCTTTGGTTGGCATTGCACATCCTGGCTAAAACCAGCCCTTCCAGCCTCATACATTACTCCCCTTCATTTGCTTGTCAGTCTGTGCCTTGCTTTTCCTGACACCACACTCCTCCTAGGTCTGCTTTTGTACCAGCTGCCCCCAATCCCAGAATGAACACCCTTCACCTCTTAAAATCCCCAGGTTTCCTTGGAAGGTCAGCTCGTTTGATTTTTGAGCAGAGAGGTTTGACCGTATCTGTTAGGAAATTTGCTTTGACAGCTGTGTGAATGATAGACTAGGGAAAGGGAAATTGGGAAACCTTATCACAAATAATGAGAACCTGGACTAGAGTAGTTTGCTGGATGAATAGAGAAAAGGGTCTGTGTATGCAGTATTATAGAGGTAGATTCAGTAGGAAATGGCAAGTGATTTGATACAAGAGATAGTGAACAGTCAAAGGTGATTCCAAGGTTTTGAACCTGGGCACCTGAAAGAATACTACTGCCATCAGTAGGGAAGTTGCAGGAAGGAAGCTTAGGAGGAAGGTGATGAGTTGTTTTGTACATGTTGAATGGTAGTGCCAGTAGGCCTTCCAAGTGGGCAAAGTAATTTACAATAGCTGTTGGCTAAAGAAATACAATTTTGGTCTTCTACCACCCTTGGCCATGGAAATAGCAGGGGTGCCACAAAGCTTGTCTTAAAGATGTGCAGCTTTGTCCTGATGGATTAATTCTTAAATTCTGGTGATCCCTCTTCCCCAGGTGGCTACAATCACTAAAAAAGAATTAATTCTTATTCTTTACAATTGTTCCTTTATTTTATAATGAAACTAGGAGGCAGCATTCTCATATTTAGAAAACAACCAAGGCCATGGTAGCACCACCAAACTGATTTAGAAAGGAGGGGCCACATAGATACCAGGTGGCAGAATTGTAAAGAGAATCTTTGTTTCCAGATTTCCAGTTTAGTGGAGAGCTGTCGAATCTAGAAGGAAGATGGGAAGCTGGCCAGCTTTTAGAGTCTGTGGGGCAATCATTGAGGACATGAAAAAAATACAACCTGAATCTTCCAGACTTTTAAAATATGCTTAGAGTGCCTGACCCAAAACGTGAAATACATTACCTTTTTGAGAAGAACTTGAACTTTAGACTGAATCGCTGCCTTTTTCTTTCTTTTTAAGGAAGACCGCTTAAAGATTGATGTGATTGACTGGTTGGTATTTGATCCTGCACAGAGGGCCGAGGCACTGAAGCAAGGCAATGCTATCATGAGAAAGTTCTTGGGTACACTATATTTTCTTGTTGTTTTTTGTACTTCATATTGATGGATCATTTATCTCTAAGCTTCTTTTCCAGATAATGTTTCCTGAGCTAAAAAGAGAATTAAGTCTATCTCTGTATACTAAGCCTGCATCTAAACCAACAGCTCTCAAAGTATTTCCTTAATAATTTCTAATTTTATGTTGAGTGCAATCTGAAAATTATTAGACTTCCATGAACTGCTTTTGAAAACACTAGTTGATTGTTCCCATCAGTGCTTACTTATAATTGCTTTTAAAAACTTAGGATTTTCTATGCAGGCCACCAGGCAGATCTGTTGCTCGTTGTGTAATGTTAACTACACCTAATCACTTGAGCAGGTTTAATACTTCATCTCTTAAGAAAAATAGAAGTCATCAGCAGTGATTTCAGCTAGTCAGTAGCCTCCCCCCCTCTCATTAGGAGGTAGTCAGCAGTAGTTGAAGAACAAGACATTCGTTGTCAGACATGACAATTGTGATTTTTTACTTGACTGCTTATTCATTACAAGAGTGCATTGTGTGGGGGCAAGAGTACTATTGGGAAGTGACAGTCATGTTTGGGGGAAAAAAAAGAAAACAAAACAAAACTTTTATTAACAGTTGACCAGGGACTTGAATATACATTTTCTGGGACCTAAAAGAAAAGCACATTTCATTTTTCCCATCAGAAAAAAATTGCCTACTAATAAACTGATTCTTGCAGCCTTAATTTATTAATAAACTTTTGTGCTAAAAAGACTGGCTAAATATTAAAATGCCCTGCACCTTTGTTCTATATACATAGCATCTAAAAAACACGAAGCTGCCAAAGAAGTGTTTGTGAAAATTCCCCAGGATTCAATAGCAGAAATTTACAATCAGTGGGAAGAACAAGGGATGGAAAGTCCGCTCCCAGCTGAAGATGACAATGCTATCAGAGAATACTTATGCATCAGAGCGTATTTGGTAAGAATTTGAAGGGGGAAAAAAAAAAACACAAATGTCCTTCATAGGCATGACACTACTGGCTCACTCTCAGAAATTTTCCAGGACTGAATGTAATGACTCTCGAATGATGTTTTCTTGACTAGTTTCCCTTATGACCAACCCAGTGTTTTTGTAACTAGAATTAGGGGTGCAGCCTTTAACCATGGATCCGGCCCACCTAGGGATTGACCCCATGACCGTGACCTAATCAACATAATGCCGTCTTAGATGATGTGGTGAAAAGTCAGAACTTGATATCCAGTACAACTCAGAAAACATTTATTAAGTGACTACTGTGTGCAGAGCACTGTGCTCCAGGTTTTGGGAGACTGAAAGATTAAATGAAGCACAGTCCTCATTCTCATGGAGTTATAATCTAGTTGGACACAAATAATTTATATAGCATAGAATGTAACGAACGTATAAAAGATACAAAGGACCTAATGACAACCAAGAAATCATTCTAGTCTTTACTTAAGGTTCATTTCTCTGAAATAGAAACTAAGTCCCATACTTGGGTTAAAAAGGAGCTGAGAGGGGCAGCTAGGTGACGCAGTGGATAGAACACCAGCCCTGGATTTAGGAGGCCCTGAGTTCAAATATGACCTCAGACATATAACGATTACTGGCTGTGTGACCCTGGGCAAGTCACTTAACCCCACTGCCTAGCCAATTAAAAAAAAAAGGAGCTGAGAGTGTTAAGAGCACCATGTGATTTTTGTATTACTCTAACTTGATGTTTGTGTTTTTGGCCAGATAAATTGAGCAGCAGTAGATTTCAGGTTTTCAGTGTTCGGTATGCCTCGAAAAATAATAGCACCCAGAAAACACTATGTAAATATTTTTGATGATTGATAATCATTGCCAATCCGTTTGTCAAAGCAGTTCCTTGCTAATACAAAATACTAAGCCATTTTTTAACTTGGCCCTGCAGTAATGTGCCAAAATTGCTAATCCTCAAAACCAATGACAATAAAAGTTTCTGAAAGCCTTTTCTTGACTTTTAGGAAGCTCATGAAACCTTTAATGAGTGGTTCAAGCATATCAATTCAGCTCCACATAAACCTACTTTGATACCTCAAGCTTCCTTCACAGAGAAAGTAGCTTATGAGCACAAAGAAAAGAAATATGAAGTAAGTTAAATCTTGCATGTGGGTGCGTGTGCGCATGTGTGTGTGTGTTTTTAATGAAATGTAATTTTTTGATTAAATTTAACTACATACTTTTTTTAAAAGGTTATATTTTTGACAGGTGTGCATTCATTGGAACAGGTTAATAGAAGTACTTTGATCTTTTTGTTAATTGTCCTGCCATCTGTTTAACATTTTTCCCAATAATTAAACAGAATGGAAAAAAATTCTTCAATAGGTAGTCAGTATTCATTAATAAAGTTGGAATTTGAAGAATTTATTGGGGGCTGTTAGGTGACGCATGGATAGAGCACCAGCCCTGGAGTCAGGAGGACCTGAGTTCAAATCTGGCCTCAGACATGTAATATTTCCTAGCTGTGTGACCCTGTGCAAGTCACTTAACCCCCAATTGCCTCACCAAAAAAAAAAAAAAAAAAGAATTTACTTAATCTGCAAGTTGTTGGTATTGACTGTTACCATAGTCAACAGCTGAGTTATATGCTTTTTAGAATTATTGTCTCCCAAACCACATCTTGCTCAGCACTCTAGAAATATTTCATGCCTTGATTTTAAGCGTACACTATGTTTCTTCTGCAGATGGACTATGGCATATGGAAAGGTCATTTGGATGCCCTAACTGCTGAAGTAAAAGAGAAAATGTACAATGTCTTACTATTTGTTGATGGAGGGTGGATGGTAGATGTCAGAGAGGTAAGTTGTTTAGATTGTCCATAAATAAAACTACAAATATTTCCATCTCTTGACAGGATCTTTCACAACCTATTTATTCTCAAATGCATAAATCCCATTGTTTGACCTTAAACTGAAAATAGGAACTAGTTAACTGACAGGATTAGGGCTCTTATCTCTACAGAAAAAAATAGCAGACTTACAGAAGGACAGATTTTGGGTTCAGTCGGAGAAAAGACTCTGGCACGTGCCTTAATATACGTGGTTAGCACCCCATCCCTGGAAGTGGCCAAGCAGAGGCCAGATGACCTTGTCAGTGAGCTGGTAGGCAATCGTCCTGCCCTGGGAAGGAGGTCAGACTAGTTACCTTGTGTGCAGAGCCTTCCACGTCTGAGTTTCTTTGAGTCCATCATAGTATTACTTGAAGAGTCTGAGCTCTGTTCTCAGCCAGGAAGGATCTTTGTGCACACGATACATTTCCCCTTTCTGGGTCTCATTTCTTTCATCTATAAAGTGATCTCTAACATCCCTTCCAACTCTAAAATTTTATGATCCTATGAAAAAGCGCTAATGAGTATCAGTTAACAGAGACAGGTTTTTGACTTAATGTCAAGAGGAGTTCCCTTATTAAAGCTCTCCCAAGGTAGGGCAGGTAGCTTCTCCTGAGGTAGTAAGAACCAGGGGAGATGCTCAAGGAAAGGCCCAGTGATTGCTCGCTGCTGGTGTCATAGAAGACCTCATGCTTCAGGGAATTCAGTCAGATGACCTCTGAGCTTCCTCTGTCTCCAAGGTTCTGTGAAGTACAAACTATCATGTAAACTGTCCTTTAAGACTTATTGTGTGTGCTTATTCGGGAAACTGAACAAAAGATGACTTCTGTCCAGAATCATAAGCAGCATTTAGACCTAAGCATTAATTCAGTGCATACAGAGACAGGCTTTTCCAAAGGGCTTTGGTCATCCCAGGGAACTGAATGGGAGTCATGGGAGCCACTCAGTTCAGTCCAGCCTGTATTTACCAAGCATCTACTATATACAGCGTCCTTTGATATTCCTGATTCCTATGTGTTAGAAAGATGGAGAATGCCATAATCCTTGCTTCATGAAGCTTAAGTTTTATTGGAGTGATAAAATATACACACAAATAAGAAAAAGAAAATATAGTGAGGTAAAGGAGAGATTCTAACAGTGCTACAGGAAAATTTGAGGAAAGAGGACATTTTCAACTGTCAGAGAAGGTTTTGTGGAAAGGATGGCACCTTTACTGTTTGATAAACAATAAAGAGAGAAGCAGCATATCCGAGGCCCAGGGCATACCCAGCACAAATAGAAACAGGCAGAATATAGCAGGTTGAGTTCAGGTAAGAGCCAGTAGTCTCTGGCGTGTAGAGTATGTGGAAAGAAATAAGGCTGGGAAAGTAGGTTGAACTCAGATTATCAGGAACCTTAAATGCCAAGTACAAGGAATTTATACTTTATGTTATGAGCTATTAAGACCTACTCAGGGTTTTTGAACAAGACAGTGACATGTACAGTAAGAAATTTATTTTTAAAACTCTAATTTAAAGAATGGACCAGATGAAGGGAAACCAGTTAAGTTATTACAGTTGTCAAGGGAAAGACCTGAATTAGGCTCATGGCTATATGAGTGAAGAAAAGGTGGTGCACGCACAGAATGTTGGAGAGTAAAAGCAACAGGACTTGCCAATTGCCTGAATGCAAGGGAGAGGAAATAGTGAAAGTTGATTCCAGAGTTTTGAGCCTGGGTGCTCTGATGGATGCTAATGCTATCACAGCAATAGGGAAGTGGGAAAGAAGGATCAGATTTGGGGGGAAGGTGATTGAGTTCCATCTTGGGCATGTTGAGTCTGAGTTTCCAGAAGGACACGCAAGTGGAACAGATAGAGGCTTGTGGGCAGTTGGAGATGCCGACTGGAGAGAAGAGTTTGAGTCGTCTGCCTAGAGACAATAAAGGAAGCTGTGGCTGGCTGAAGTCATTGACAAAGAGTAAAGAGGAAGGGGGCCCATGACAGGACTTTGAGGGACACCCATGCTTAATGGGTAGGACTTGGTTGAAAATCCAGCAGAGAAGGCTGAGGAAGAGCAGTCAGACAGGTAGGAGAACCAGAAAAAAACTCACGCAAGTGGAGAGAGACAAGAATGTCAGGAGGAAGGAGTGGGTGGCAGTTTTGGAAGCTACAAAAAAGTCAAGGAGGAGAAAGACTGGGGGCGGGGGAACATTGGCTTGAGCAGTTGAGAGCTCATTGGTAATGGTGAGGAGAGAAGTTTCAATAGAGTGATGGGAGTGGGAATCTATCTACATTGGAAGAGGTGGAGATGAGGCAGGCAAAGAAATGGGGGCCACAAGCCTAGAAGACTTTTCCTCACAGCATGTATGGAGCTTGACCCTGTCCAGGAAATTGGCCTCCCACTTTGTGCTCAGAGGTTAGTCCTGTGAGGGATGCAAAGGTGAAGATGCAGTCCCTCACCTCATGGGCATTAGAGTGATTACAAGGTACTTTGGTAGTTCAAAGGATCAAGGAAAGCATGGAAGAGAAGGACTTTTTTCTTTTTTTTAGGGTTTGTTGTCTTTATTTTTTGTTGTCTGGTGATGTCTCTTCCCACTTTCCTCTTCACTGCCCTGAGCACTGAACCCATCCTAGTATTAAACAGCAACCACCTCCAACAGCAACTCCAAGATTCCTCCCCATGCACACTACAGAAAGACAGAAGGCAGATTTCTTCATCAAGACATAACACCGAGCTTCATCTTAGCAAGGTGGAAGGTGAGGAGGGCATTCCTTTTTATGGCACAGAGGACAGACAGAATTGAGAAGATGCTCAGAGCATCAGGTAGTCCAGTGTGGGTGGCCCACGCACAGGCTCTGTGAGAGAAGGCCATAGGAGATAAGGCTGGAAAGAAGGACAGAATCAGATTGTGAAGGGTCATGATTTTCAGACCAGAGTATGGACTGTGTCTCTGAAGAGTTGAATTCCTATTAATCATATTCAGAAGGAATAGCGAGCTATTTTATGTTTTCTGAGCCAAGGGGTGACATGATCAAAGCAGTACTTTAGGGATAGTAACAGCAGTATATAGGGTGAAGCAGAAGATGAAGGGACTGAAGCCAGGAAGACCAGTTTATAATGATCTCGACTAGTAGGTGGTAGATGGTGGAATCGGGGATGGGAAGCTGGGCTAGAATTTAGGCAAGTGCAGGACTTGGCTACTGGACAGTGGTGTCAAAGATGATCAGGTTTGAAGCCTCCCCAGTTTCATTGTCAGAAGCCTCTTTAAATATGAGAGGTGGTGCAACTTTTGGAAACCATTGGGTTTTTCTAACACATCATAGACCTGGAAGAAACTTTGGAAATCAGACCTGACTCATTTTACAGATGAGGAGATGGAGCTGTCCACAAACTAGGTGGTTTGCCTGAGGTCACCCAGTATGGCAGAGGCAGGGCCCCAGGCTGAGCCCTGCCCATCCATTTCTCTAATGGAGCACACTAAGCCCCTGAGTAGTGCCCAGTCTTTAGGCTGATCTCTGCTTTCGTTTTGTGGGTGGAGGATGCTGAAGAAGACCACGAAAGAGCCCATCAGATGGTTTTGCTGAGAAGGCTTTGCCTGCCAATGATGTGCTTCCTGCTCCACACAATTTTACACAGCACAGGCCAGTACCAGGAGTGCCTACAGCTTGCTGATATGGTTTCTTCAGATCGCCACAAGCTTTACGCGGTGAGTTGGAGAGAAGACAGTCGAGAAGGGAAACCTGAACAAGGTCATTGAATATTTTTCCACTTTATCAGGAGCTCATATAAAATGTCATATCACTTTGTGATTGTTAAAAACAAGTTCCTTTAAAAAAAAATTTCTGTTCGTAATGAACTTGTGGATCTTAACAAAATATTGTTCTAGCTTTGGAACTGGGGATGTTTTCCCCAAATTTAGAATCTCTGTTGAAGCAGTGCTCTGGTTAGATGTTTATAGAAAGAACTATTTTGAATCATGCAAAATAAAAACTCAAAAATAGCTTTTTTTTTCCCTTTAAAGTTTAAATCCATGAAAATATATGCCAGTTAGATTTCATTAGTTAACTTTGAGTTTGTGATTTGTGGTGGGATTTTTTTTTTTTTAAGGTCAATTTTCTAATTTATGTCTGTTTCTCATCAGGTGTTTTCTAAGGAAGAACTAAGGAAGTTGTTACAGAAGCTGAGAGAATCATCATTAATGCTTTTAGATCAGGGACTCGATCCATTGGGATATGAGAGTCAATCGTAATTTTCTATTTTGTATAATTCCTTTAATTTCCTAATGGCTCCATAATGTAGATTTCACTAAATATGCACATCTGTGGTTTTTGTTGTGGTTGTTGTTGTTATTGTTATTTTTAGGAAAAGATGTTGTAAAATTTAACATTTTTTTTGTACTTTTAATAAAAGTTATGGCAAGAGTCTTTTGCAAGTTATTATAGAATAGTATTTCTTAATTCATGTTTATTAATAAAGTATCTGAGTTTAAAATTTTTTCTTCAGATTCCTCCAGTGAAAATGAGGGCCAACTGAGTGCCAGGCCTGGAGTCAGAAAGACTCACCTTCCTGATTTCAAATTTGACTTCAGACACTTACTAGCTGTATGATCCCAGCAATTCACTTAACCCTGTTTGCCTCAGTTTCTTATCCTAAATATGCTTTAGGATCAGACCTAAAGCTGGAAAGCTATTCCGGGAGAGGAAGCCCTGCCATGTTCTATCATGGTAGATCAAGTCTTGCCCTGCCAACAGGCTGAGGCTGCTTCCAAGGACCAGCCTGGACAAGTACTCAAAGGCTCATGGCTAATAGGTCACTTGGTTTAAAAAAAAAAAAAATTGGCCATGGCAACCCATAAAACAAAAAATGCAAAATGTTGTTCACTCCTCTTTACTTCTTCAGTAACAGTGTGGAGACTATAAGAAAAGGAGACAGTAAACGCTAAGAAGCCCATGGGTTAGACGATCTCCCAGCTTGGATGTTTGTTCCTTATGTGTCACCAATTACCAGTGTCCTGCTAGAGGAGCTAAATTATATCAATCAGGATTTCTTCACTGTAAATAAAACCAAAAGAAAGGAAGTTGTGGCTAAATGGAAGGATGGCTTCCTATTCCTTGGAGAGCCAAACAAAGGTGTTGACAAAGATTGATTTTGTCATATGCTCGAAAGGCAATAAATATTTCAAAGGATGTTTGGGTGTTTCCTACTACAAGCATTTTCAGATAGGCCACTGTGAAAGTAATTGTATCTTATTCATCAACATTGGTTAAAGAGTTGGAGAAATCCTATAAAGAATTTGACGAAACTCTCCAAAGAATCTGTTAACAGGATTTTCCTGAGTCGGTTTCTAACTTGAGAATGATGAAACAGTAGGCCAGAGACGAAGTACCGGTAATCAGGTAGCCATTAAATTAATTAGTTTTATTATAAGGAGCAGATTTGCAAATCAGGAATTCTCCTGATCAGACCTTGCTGAAGTGAAGACCGAGATTGTATACATAAGTAACAATGGAAAGGGAAGAGGGGAGGTGGATTACAGACAATAATTTTCCAGGGCTTGAATGGTTTTCCATGACAGACTCACAAGTGGAAAACAATACAACAGTTCTGGAGTCCTGTGGGAGCAATATTGCTTAAGTCTTTGGGAGTTGTTACTTGGTGGGTCACTGGACTGGTTCTGTGAAGGGAAAGGTTCTACAATCAAACCCTGGACAACACTCACTCACTGCTTTCTTGTGCATGGGTACCTTAAGTGAAGCCAATCAAAGATTATGAGAAAAAGATAAGGCCTGCTATTGAAATAATCACTCAATCCTGAACTATTAAAAGAAGTAAATGATTTTTTTTAAATGGCTTATAGCAAAAATGGCAGCACTGATTAAAATAGTTTTATGTGCAAGTGCAACAAATGTAAATCAATTACCATAACCAGGAAACCAAATGAAGCTAAAAAGCGCCTTTAGTTGGAAAACATCCAACTTACTTCCTAAACAGAAGATAAGAACCAAAGGGAACACTAAACCAACATATAAACTCACTTGTAAATCTTGTGAGGAAAGATAATGGTTGATTAGGATCAGTGGAAGTTGAAACCAATTTTCAGAAAGCCAGCTAAGAAATCCAACTAAATAAAGTCAGCACTGTACTCCACATAGAGATGATAAATCCACCATCTTAGTTGATGAGGTCACAGAATACGTAGAAGAGAGCTGGGCACAACCTTGGGGAACACCCATAGTTCCAGGGTAAAATGCAGGCAATGGGCCAGCAAAAGAGACCTGGGGAGAATGGTGTCAAAAAATAAAACAAAACACACACACATATCCAAGGGGAAAGGGTAGTCAAACTGTCAAATGAAACAGATCAGTAGAGATAGGGACTGGGGAAAAAAAAGAAGCAGACTTGGCAATTAATAGAGCCACTGATAACCCTAGAAATTTTCAATTGAGTAGAGGATAGAAGCCAGATTGCAAAAGGTTAAAGAGAAGATAAGCCATGGAAGCAATGAGTATCAACCCTTCTTTCTAGGAGTTTGGCTGAGAAAGGGAGGAGAGAGAGAGTGGGGAGCAGTGAAGGTTTTTCAGAAAGATGTGTTTGAAGGCAGTAGAGAAGGAATCAGTAAATAGGAAGAGATTGAATATTGGAGCAAAAGAGTAAGGAAACAATCTGCTGGAGAAGGCAGGAGGGGGTGGTCGGGAACATATGTAGAAGGTCAAAAAGAAAGACCCCCTTAATCAGAGACTGGAGGAAAGGAAGCTGCAGTGAGAGATGACTGTCTCTCGAGAGGTCTCGAGGGGAAGAGGGAACTCACAGCGATTGCCTCAATTGTCTCTGTAAAGTAGGAGGAGGTGAGGTCCTCAAAGGAGGAGGTGGTGTAGGAAACTTGAAGACAGAAGGGTCGAAAAAGCTTCTATGGAAAGTGAGAGAGGGAATCCATTAGGAAGAAGTAGAAGGATTCCCTACTACATGAGACACTCGTGGCGGATTAATAGCTTAAATTTGTAACGGAAACTTCATCCAGATCTGTGCATCAGCACATAAGTAGGAGCTGAGGAAAATAGATTGTGGGAATTATCCAGGGCTGGGGAAAGAGTGGTGGGTTGGCAAGGGATGAACAGAGCTATATAGGCTGAGATGTGTGACCTCTCAGGGCTCTGGGAAATCATGCGGCCCAAACAGTGCAGTGCATGGAGGCAGTGACTAAATGGGATGATGTTTTTCAGCCAAGCTGGGAGTTGACCACAGAGAAGCGGCCATAGAGAAGCAATAAAGAAATCTTAGATCAAATGAGTTCCAGAACCAAGAATGTGTCATTTGGCCAGGATCATGAGAAAATGGGCCCCCACCCTTCACTAGGCGTGGCTGTTAGGTTGACTGTACAGGTTCTGGGAAGGGGATTTATTCTCTAGCAACGCCAAGTCCTTTTTCTTTGCAGGGGAGTCTTAACCCCTCCGGTAATTTTGGGGATCCTATAGGTCCGTGGGGGAGTCAGACCTTAGCAGAGAGAGATGTCTACTTATGGATTTGGGTGGGAGTTTTCACATTTTCTACTTAGTTAAATAAAGACAAAAGAGTTCGGGGAAAGGGGAAACCAGTGCCACAACAGGGAAAGACGGGGAAGGAGACAAGCCATATAGGGGAGAACTGTGAGCATGATGTAGTCAAGGGGCAGTGATGGTGGTGGTTAGATGGAGCGGAAGAATGTGTTTTGGAGACCAATGTGAGAATCCAATTGATGAAGGAAAATAGAATCAGCATCTGGCAAAGTACCTGGCATTTAAAAGAAGCATAACCAATGTTGCTTGTGTTGAGTTTGAGTTTATTTGAATTTAAGAAGTCCTGGACTGCTAGGATGAGCTTGGGCTTGATTTAATAATAATCATAGCTAACATTTATATAGTGCTTACCATGTGCCGGGCACTGTGCTAAATGCTTTACAATTATGAACACATTTCATCCTCCCAACAATATTGGGAGGTGGGTGCTATTATTAACTCCTTTTTACAGATGAGGAAATAGGCAAGTAGAGGTTAAGTGACTTGCCCAGGGTCACACAGCTAGTAAGTGTCTGAGGCCGGATTTGAATTCAGGTCTTCCTGACTCCAGGTCCTCACCACCCAACTGCTATTGATAGACAATAATAATCAAAAGCACCAGCATAGTAAAGGGTGCTAGATTTGGAGTCAAAGATCCTTGGTTAAAATACCAACTTTGTCACTTACAGGCTGTGTTACCATAAGCAAGTCATGTAACTTTTCTGAGTCTCAGTTTCTTCATCTGTACAATGTGGATGAATACCTGTATTACCTCACAGTACACAGGTACACACTGAGTTTCTGTACAGACTTACAGGCTATTAAAAGAATCAAATTGGATAATGTCTGTAAAATGCTTTGCAAACTTTGTGGCACTCTCTAGATATCTTCAGATATCTCTCTTCAGAGCTCAGTGGGATTTAGGACTCAAAGATTCAGGGTGCAGGAGGGCTTAAGGCTCAGGACTAGTATTTCAATTTCAGTTATGTTAAAAGCTAAACAGGCTTTTGTGGACAATCAAAATTTATATTTGTTTCAATGAGAAAATGAATCCCAAGTTCCAATCAACAGAATTACAAATACATTTAAGGGATGATTTCTAGGTCCTATACAACTCTCTTCTAAGACATATTTTAGAAACTTCTGGAGCACAACACAACCTGTTTTAAGTTAGAGTCACTTTTGTTCAGTTTTATATACTTCTTGTACTGTTTTCTCACTCATTCATTCAACAGTACTTCATTATTTCAAGGGTTTGTGATTTCACTGATGTCAGTATTCCCCCAATTCAGATCCTAATCCATCTACCAGTCCTTAAGACTGCCTTTGAAGGTTGCTTTTGCAATGATCTCTAACTTTATCTAGGCCAGTCTTTGAATGACAGACCATAGAGTCCATCATCTTACTTCCTGTTTGGTGCAACTAGACACATCTTTCAGAATTCACTTACCTCCATGCCATGATGAAACATCAAAGTAGGAATTAGTCAAAAGATTCAAAGTCTGTATCTGTAGGACTGTGTTGTATGCTGAGAGAGTCAATACAAAAAATATGCTACCTCCCCTCTTTGCAGAGGTGGGGAATGATGGGTGATAGTGTCAGACATTGTTTATTTGTTGGTTAGTTTTGCTGAATTTTTCTTTTATTTTTTGTTACAACATTTACTCTGTGGGTGGGACCATCGCCAATCATATTGACTTATGTCTTGCCACTGGACTCTGGACTCCAATGACTGGAGGAGAGAATGAGGCTGATGACTTTGCACAGTTCTGCCTCACTTAAATCCAATTCACTCGAAAGTTAAGAAGTCACTTTCATGATGTTATTGGTCCTCTTTAAGAATGAAAGACAAACAACAACTCTC